TAGCCCTGATATGAATCCTATTGAGAAGTGCTGGAGGAGAATAAAACAAGCTCTCCATAGGCGCCTAAGGCAGCCAACAACTGAGGTTCAAATGGTTGTAGCAGTATTAGAAGAATGGGACAAAATTCCTCAGGAATGGATCAATGGGCTTATTGAGCAGCAGGACTTCTGGGTACACGACTTAATTAAGCGATGTGGCTGGTCTACAGCTAATTAATTAATAAAATTCATGATTCTGATGCCCTGAACGCACGGACTTTTGTCCCTATGTTCGTAAACTGGTCACCGAGATCAGGCTGTTGATCCCAGCCAATAGCAGTCATTGCCCCGTGAACCGCCCTTTTCAGCTCCGGCCAGTGGAGGAGGCTGAACCCAGTCTCCTCTGAGTACAAGTAGATCGTCTCAAACACTTCATTTGAATTTTACATTACCGCAAGTATACTTCAAGATGGGCGACAATATCCAAGCAGCTGACGTCAGCAATATCGGCGTTGACCCAGATGTTGTGACGCCTGTCGAGACTGTTCCTGGGGAATGTTGCGAGCTGAAAAGCCTGGTGCTTCGATCGAAAAAAGGGGAGATTGAAATTACCGAGAAGAATAGCAGGTCTAAAGATGATGATCCATACATCAAATTCGCGTTGGTCTCTAGACAATCCTTCGACGAGAATCACACCCACACTGGCACCACCTTGGAAATCAATTCGCCTCAATTGCTCAAAGCTCTTAAGGATGTCATCACGTACTATCCTGGAGAAGCCTTGGAGTTTAGGGCCAAATTCACGATTGAGGCACCGTAAGTTGTTGTTGCTGCTACTTTTGCCCGGGATTGGAAACTCTCAGAAGTTGACAATGTTACAGATACATGATGCTGGTACACTATCGTGAAGACATTCGTGCTTATGGTGAGGCTTCTGGGGATACCGAAACAAAAGCCCATGTTAAATTGTTGATGAACTATCTGGATGATGAAGCTGGTCCAAAGGGCGTGGAAACCAAAGAGATGATCAACACCGGTGTCATCACGTTTCCACTACTGTGGATGATTTACAAACCGGGCGACATCATTTGCAAGCGCGAGAACGGCCACTCTCGTCTTTTCCAAGTGCGAAGGCACGGCTATGGAGAATCTCTCAATCGTGGAAAGTACTTCGACATCGGGTGCTCCTTCGTCTCATACGATGGCGAACACGCTGGCATGTCAAGAGAAAGATTGAGAATCTGGGATCGCCAAGAATTCTTCGGTTTGTTCTCAACTACCATCACATTTCTCTCAGCATTTCCTGTGAAATTTCTTGAGAAATCCGCCAGACTAGCTCTGGAAGACAAGATGGCAGCCAGAGGACGTCGATATTTGGATATCAACGAACGTTGCATCAAGCAATATGATGGCTTATTTCTCTATCTCAAGCGACCACCTTGGGATTACTATAATGAGAACGCCGCATATGACGGAACCTTCATACCCGAGACTATGAGCGGCCGGGTGGTCATCGATCCCAAGACGTTCAACGAAGAGGCGAGAGCACAGAAAGAACAAGTTGAGTCAAAGGCAGATAATAATACAGAAGAAGTGGTAGATTCGAAGAAACCAGGTATGATTTTCAATGCTCCACATCGCTTGCACTGGCTTACTGACCAAACAGCCGCACTCGATTTCTCGGAGGACCTTCATAGCAACGATCTCGATCCTAGACTTTGCCCTTCATATATTTATGGTTTTTCCCTCGAGAAGAAGGAGTGGTGCAAGTTCTTCGTGGACTTCATGTCACCTGTGGAATGGAAATCAAACTCTCTCGACTCGCTCATCATCCCTGCACCTCAAAAGCGACTGTTGGAAGGTCTCGTTACAGGCCATAGCTTTCCTGACAAAGCTCGAGATGAGAAGAACCTCAAAGGAAAAGGATTGGTTGTTCTACTACATGGTACACCTGGATCTGGAAAGACTTTGACTGCAGGTATGAATACCTCCTGGTCACGTGCTAACAAATGCTTACTGTTGTACAGAGGTGACGGCCGAACATACTCAGAGAGCGCTGCTCAATATCTCGACCGGAGAGTTAGGAAGTTACCAGATGAGAATCGAGGTTGAGCTTAAGCGCCTGCTTACATATGCTTCAACTTTTCAAGCAATCGTGTTGATCGATGAAGCTGATATATTCCTTGAGGCTCGCAAAAGTGGTCCTGCTGATCAGCTTGAACAAAACGCGATGGTCGCTGGTATGCTATTCTCTCTCAAAATTTTCCGTTCTTTTACTGACAACTCACAGTCTTCCTCCGCCAACTCGAATATTTCCAAGGTATCATCTTCCTCACGTCCAACCGTGTCTCCGTCTTCGACCAAGCCATCAAATCTCGCATCCACCTCGCGCTGCAATACGCTAGTCCTGGCAAATGTGTACGCCGTACGCTCTGGAAAAAGAACCTTGAAAGTGTTCCAAGAGAAGATCTCGATCTGGATCTTGAAAAGGCGCTGGACGCGGTTGAGGGTACGGAGATGAACGGTCGGGAGATTTCGAATTCGATCACGACGGCCAAGACATTAGCGAAGAGCGAGGGTTCGAAGCTGAAGTTGGAGTATTTGCAGACCATTGTACAGGTTTGGAGCGAGTTTGAGGAAAGTTTATCGAAAATGTCCGTGCTGGAGGGGTCGTGGGTTGAAAAGTAGATTGTCGCATGGGTTATCCCACATCGCTTTGAAAAACCAACATCATCCAGAATTAGAGCCACTAGAAACAATTCTGTTCATTCTCAATCTTCAACAATTACAGATTGGACTCAGATGATCTGCGAAATCCACCCTTCTCAGGATAGAACAAGCCAAATAACCCCACACCAGACCAACATTCAAACAATCTGTTTCAGCTTTCCCGTGAAAGTATCAAGCACAAGACCAAAGACCTCCATATTCTCCGCAATCGTCGGAAAACTCTTCAAGAAATCCACATCTTCAACAATCGTCTTATATGGACTAAATCTAGTCAGCTCCTCACTTCTCAGAATTTCCACTCTTACAAGACTTACTCATTAATCGCCCCCCAACACCCATGATGGTCCTCCGCAAGACCAGGATGCTTCTCCTCTATCCTATGCTGAAACTCATCCTCGCCCTTCTCCCCAAACTGACTCGTCCCACAATCTAGTCCAGTCCATCAGTCAAGATCCATATATAGGTAGATGGGGAAGCGGCGAAATACCAGTATGATGCACAACAACAACAGTCCCTACGTCTCCCAACGCATCCAGCACTAACAAAGACCGAATAACACCCTGTGTTCTTCCTCCTGCGTTTCGGAGAATTGCGGCTTCTAGATACCTCCAATTAGTTAATGGTCTTATTTCTGCTCTTGGAATTGACGAACCTCCTCGATTCAAATCTAGGTATTCCATAGGATGGACTCTGGGATCTGCGCAAGCGACTGTGGTTTTGTGAGTAAGGATTTAAAGGCTGGGTGAGGGTGTGCGGACTGATAACCATTGATTTCGCGCCGGACTTTTTGCGTTTTTCGATGCCGTCCATCAGTTTTCCTGGTGCTTTGTATGTTTCGGCGTATTCCCTGTTGTTACGGTTAGGATTTGTGGGGTTGAGAATGGGGTGTGGGGTGGGTTACTCGTTTCTGGAGAGGATACTTTCGAGGCGTTGGGCGGGAGTTGGGTTTGACATGGTGGGTGCTGGATGGTGCGATGCAGAAATTAATTAGATGTTGGTAAATATGGAAGTGACTATGGAAACGATTTGACCTTGGACGATGCTTATTCTAACTATTGAGTTTAGGAATGTCGAATTGAATTTTTGCCAAGCGTACGCTATCCTTATATATATACCTTCACTGACTCAATTCTGGATACCGAGAAAGAACGACAAAAAGATCCGTTCAGTAATCAAACAGTACCTTGCTTACTCACCCTTGTCCCGTAACCTAAAGGACCAGCACTGCGGGGTTTAGCAAAAGCGAGGCTCATGTACCTCGTGGAATAATCTTGATGCGGGATCTCCTGCGGGATCTAAAATCAATTTCCATTCGTCGGCAATTCGCTGTTGGGACGTTCTGCAGAATGATTACTATTCATGCTCTTACGTCCGAAAGGGTGCCATAAGCGAGGTCTGGTCTTGGCAGCCCCTGACGACTACCGAAGCGGTAATTGAAGCTGCAACGTGCGTAGTAGGCATATGCGATCATGTCATGATCAGAAATCAGACTTTGGATATTGTGAAGAGAAATTGTGATGGTGGGCGATTCGCGTGTATAAAGGAGGTGAAGGACCCACTGTAGACTTGCCCTATCTTCATCAAGATTCTATAATAGAGTTTCCCTGTACAGCATCAGCATTATCACAACATAATTCTATCTCGATCACGCCGCATAAGTGAACTCCAATCACATAATGTCCTCTGCCAAACAGACAGTCCTCGCCATTGGTGGAACCGGGGCTCAAGGAATATCAGTCGTGAAAGGGAAGCGTTCAAAATGTACCACTTACGGTCCGAAACAAATCTAAACAACTCTAGGGCTTGCCCGAGATTCCAAATACAACGTCCGCGTTCTAACCCGCTCCACCAAATCCAAACCAGCACTCGAGCTCGCCGCCCTGCCAGGAGTTACAATCGTATCAGGTGACGGTTACAACGAAGCAGGTCTTCACTCTGCGTTCTCAAGCGGAATTGACATCGCCTTCGTCAACACGAACGGCTTCGCAATCGGAGAAAAAGCCGAAATATACTGGGGCATCCGTATCTTCGAAATCGCAGCCGAGCACGGCGTCAAGCATTTCATCTGGGCGAACCTAGAATCCTCGTACAAAGTCAGCGGATATCAGCCCAGGTTCCGAACTGGACATTTCGACGGCAAGCACAAAGTCGCAGATTGGATTAGTGCTCAGCCAAAAGATGGACTCATGAAATGGAGTATTTTGACTAGTTGTATGTATTTGGAGATGTTCTCCGAGCTATTGCGTCCATTTCCTGAGACGATTAACGGGGAAGAAGTCATGGTTTTCAAGGCTCCTGTCGGTGATGGACGTCCACCCATGATATTCCTAGAGGATCTCGGTCGATATGGCAGATGGCTGATCGACAATCCCGAGAAGAGCAGTGGGATGAACCTGAAAATCTCAACCGATCAAGTGGGATGGGAAGAAGTTGCGCAAGCGTTCACTGAAGTTACTGGCAAGAAGGCGGTATTCAGAGATGTTACCCTTGATGAATATTTTGCATCTGGAGCTTTCCCGGATCCGGATGCTAAAGTCGGACATTCGGTTGGACATGATGACGATACTTTGCAGACGTATAGAGAGAATTTCTCTGGGTTTTGGAACACTTGGAAAGAGAATGTTTTGCAAAGGGATGATGAGGTGTTGGATGAGATATTACCAACGCGGGTTAAGAGCATCAAGGAGTGGATGCAGATTACCGGTTATACAGGCAAGCCAGGGAGTGTTTTGAAGGATTATTCTGATGCGAGGAGAGCGCCGAAGGTGGAAGTATAAGGAGTTGAGTTATAGGAGAATTCAAACATGTAATTAATTGATTAAAAAACCTAGTCTGCCAAGCTCATCTCATCTTTGCTAGCCCAGTCGATATCGTACTACCACTTGAACATACACACGTTCCCGTCGCTTGGCTCGTGATCGGCGGTGCATTGCAAACAACCTGACTTGTATAGGGCAGCACTGTTGTCACGGGCGCAGTGCCACTCAACGTCTCCGCCTTTACCAAAATCGGTATCACAGCCCCTGTCGATAAACTGAAAGACCGATGTCCCAGCACACTCAGAAGACTAGAAGCTTCACCAGAATGCGTAGTAAATGAGATGAACGTTTCTCCGTCAGTGGAGAAAATTTGATCCAGAAGAGTTTTTGAGCGAAGTCCTTGTGCAGTGGGCGTTTCGGAGGTGGATTGTCGGAACAGGAGATCATACTCGGTGAAGCCGGGCTCGATGGTGTAGGAGGGGAAGAGAGATTTGATGTACGTGAGATTGGATCGAGAGTCGCACGTGTGGATATCGATACCTTCGCGAAGAAGCTCTTTCACTTCTGGTACGAAGGGATGAGAAGCAGGTAGATCAAGCCCAGAGAAAGAGACGTTGGCGGTCTGGAGACAACGAGTCAATGGGGAGACGTAGTAAGACTGGGGAGTTTGAATGTTCTGAGTAGCGATGAGGCGAGACCAGAGGTTGTTGACGGTTTGTGCTTGAGCTACGCCGTTCGCGTCTAGGTGAGCGTCAAACCATGTTACTGTTGAGTTTCCATCCAGTTGTGCCCAATAGCACTAAAGAACAATTGTTAGCATCCGAATTCTTGACCCATTAGCTTCGCCGCAACTCACATTCCAGGCTGGAGTTCCATAGAAAGTCTCTGCAGCATTATGATAGCCTTCACCATGACGACCAATGAATAGTATCTTATACTCGATATTACTCGGCGAAACAAGGTTCAATCGGAAAACTTGATTGGCAAATCGCTCCCACTGGGACTTAGTGTTTTTTGGATCAAATTGGGCGTCGGTCGGGTAAGTTTGATTGATAAGCCCGAAATTTGTTGCTACCTATTAATTGATCTACTGTTAGCAAGAATATTCAATAAGTGGGTGGATGACGGACAAAGTCAAACGTTGAAGAATTGGTTGAATTATTGTCTTGGAGAAAGTAGCCAGGTACACTGGAGTATGATATGTATTGCGCGAGGGGCTTTTGCTTCAATTGATGCGCCTGGGTGGCGCAGAAAATCGCAAAGATAGTACCAAGGAAGGCGATGTGATACATTACGGAAGCTATGATGGATGAACAGAGAGGTGATACAAAGGGGAGCTCAAGAAAGGTATGAAGCTGGCAGAAGCTACCCCTCTTATACTCGAACAGCTACCCCACTGTGCACAAAGCGATTGCCCTGCAGCTACCCCCAATCGTAGGACTAGTCTTGGCACATGTCCATCAATAAGTACTGTACCTGTACCGTCCTGTTGGGTCGAACAGAAGCACCAATTGGGAGGAGACTACTCGCACATGGTACTGATAATCTGACGAAACCGGAAGTACTCTTCCATCAAAGGCACAATAAGGCACACGACACCCGTCAATTCCGAGAGCGAGACGCCTCTAAAGAGCAGTTGAATACGACGGATCTTTTTGCGGGTGCTGTTTTAGTTGTCCGAGTTCCTGAATACAGAAGGTGGGGTTCGAATTTCTGATATTAAGAGCCAAATGTACCTGCAGAGACGTCTTTTGAACAATTTTCAACCAATCATTTAACCACGTGGCTGATGATCATCGTAGTCACTTGATTTCGACACATTCATATATTCATCTTGAAAGAATCATGAGTATAGATCTCTAAATCTTTAAAGAGATATATCCCATTCAACATCCGCCAGCAAAAGGGGTTCAGCCCCACAAATCCTCGCTTCTTCCCAAGAACACCAATCAAATATTTACGCTGAAACTCGCTAGTATTGTCCGCTATACACAATTCCACTTGGCAAGATGGTAACCAAATAACACTTTTATTTTGAGCATTACACCGCGGATTATAGCAATCTGAAGAAGATAAAACCTTAAAAAAAGAGTTTCTTGCTAGCCAATGCGAGGCTCGAAATCGCGACCTTGACCCCAAGCTTTTAAATATCCTGAAAATAGAGAAACCAGAAAGTCAACTTGGCAAAATCACTACAGAAAATATAACTTCAACCCCAAGACACCCATCCTACCCACGTCCCGCCATCAAACCAGCAACAGACATACAATCTCAGGCGCTTCGTTCATACATCTCACTCCAATCTTTCTCCGAAGCGATCGAGCGTGGTTGAAAGTCCCCAAGCTCCTCCGTAATCCTGCTGACCGTTGTATTTCCTCCCGTGAGAACAATCCCAATATTCCAATTCTTCCTTTGCTTTGCCAACATCGCGCGAAACTCCGCGTTGAAAAGCAGAAGTGCAACAGATACTGCCGAGCTGGGCTCAATGACCAACTTCAATTCCTCCATGAGCAAACGCCATGTTTTCTTGATTTCGCGCTCTGTTGCAGTGTACAATCCCGCGACGAGATCTTTCTGGCGAATAAGATCAAAGTTGCCCTTCGATGTAGATGCTCTCAAGCCGTCTGCAACACTATTTTGGTTTTTGGGATTTGACAAAACACCAGACTCAATTCCGCTCTGCAAATCTGGACCACCTTCTTGTGGTTCGCATCCGTAGACGGAAGTTTCAGTGCCCTTGCATACCACGGCAGCACCAGTGAGCAAACCACCCGTCGCACTAGGTAACACTACCGCGTCAAGCCTCTGTCCGCTCATTTCGTGCACTTGCTCGATCATTTCCATCGTCGTCGTTGCTTGACCGTGGACGATGCTTGGATCGTCCATGGGCCCAATGAAGATAGCACCAGTGTCTTTGATAATCTTCTTGGCGGTTTTATCACGATCTTCTGGATTTGCTCCGGCAAGAACGACCTTGCCACCGTTTTTCTTGGCGCCTTCGATCTTTGATGGTGCAGATGTTTTGGGGAGAACGACCGTTGCATCAATTGTCATATTTCGTTTTTGAGCAGCGGTTTTTGCTGCAAGAGCCACCGCGTGGCCAAAATTGCCTGTTTTGCGGCATGTCAGAGATTCATATTCATTACGAGACTATGGGTATCTAACCTGTGCTGACAGCGACTACGCCCTTCTTTAGTTTCTCGCTCGGTTGCTCTGCTATGAAATTCGAAGCTCCTCGGAACTTGAAAGAGCCTGATTTCTGCAAGTTCTCGCATTTGAAGTAAAAGTTGATGTTTAACTCTGGCGACGAAGCCATGTGAGAAAGGTTCTCGGATACCAGAACGGGGGTGCGATTGATCAACGGCTTGATCAAGTCTTGAGCCGTACGCACTCCATGACGGGTGATTTGAGACATTGCGTGTAGTGAAAGAAGAAACAGGTACGGCCGAGTAGATTCAAATCTGGTCACAGGACTACGGCAGACATTCATTCATACATTTGTTATATACCTCAAGAAATCACGTTTCAGACTCCCCCGGACGAGTTGGACACTCCGGGGAGGATGTCATCGGTGCGTCACAGAACACAAGCTGTTCCAAGGAGCGCCTATCGTTGATATAATCATCAACCTCACGTCATGGTACTTCAAAAGTCAACACATTTAAGAGTCAAACACGGGCAGTCCGAGATGGTTGACTTCGGGAAGTCCCACCAGCTAGGGCACATGCACTTCATCACTTATCGCCGGTATGAGCTTACCAGGAGTAGAGGAAAATCTAACAAGACAAAGATATTCATTTCATAACTGCTAAGATCGCCCAACATATAATTCCTTGCTAGCATGAGATCCTTCATGAATACCACCCAAGGTTACACTTCCATGGCTGACAAGGAGCAAGACAAGCATCGGGATTTCTGTCGATCACTACATCTTCCATTCTTAGGTTGAGAGGACCAGATACTGTTCGGTGGCCAGCACTGGTCAATCCCGAACTGCCTCGCAGACATAATGCTTAAAGTGATTAACGAAGAGCGGAATTATATTATAAACAGGATGCTATTCTTCATGCCATTTTTTGTAAGCTCATGACACCTGCTGGCCATGCCCAAGGCTAACAACACTACAGGCGTGGAAGGAAGCAAAGTTGCTGATTGACCGAACTATACGAAGAGGCGTTGCGGTTGAACAGGCAATTGGAGAATTGCACTAAAGAGACCATCAAGAACCTTTGGTTTCAATGTTCAGACAACACCACTATGACAACTATTGAGAGTGTATGGACAAGCGAAAGTGCTCAAAACGCAAACATAGCGGTCAAGCTTCTACCTTAATTAATTTCTTTCATTCGAAAGCCTACCGTAGTTCGTGTCCTGTATCAATCCCTGCGATCGATTCGTCCTTCCTCTTCCTCTCACTTATGAGCCCTCCACATACCGGGTAACCATTAATCTTGATTCCATCTCACTCAGCCCAAATTATGATTCGGGGGAACGATCATCCTCATCTTCGAGCAGTTGTATGGACCATGAAAGATGCAGATCGATGGCATCATACACAGAATCGTGAATCGAGAAACTTGACAGAAGCATTCCCGTATGATGAAGCTTTTCTTCGGAGAGACCGAAGAAAAAGAATATTTGCAGAACCAGAATGTACGTGAAAAGATCGGCAGTACAAGACATAAAGGCTCGAGTCTAGATTGACCTGGGGTTCGGGCCGTAAGGTATGCACGCCTCCGTGCATGCAAGACCTGCTGTCTATGGAAATGATGAAAATCCCATGATGATGACTTCGACCTCCTTTGGATCAGTAAGCATAAGCTGCATGCATACCCGTCAATCTTGGAACGAGCTTCCTTGCTTTGCTACTACGGCATCTGCCTTATTCAAGCCACACTTTCGGCCTCAGTCAGTGTAACGGCGGGTTAGAAGAAAGATCGAGAACACGTAATATCCTGAATAGGCAAACGGCACCGCTGGAGATGGCGTTACCCGTGTCATGGTTCTGAATAGCGAAGGTTGCATCAGACGAATGTCTCGCTAGGACCTTCTCCAAGTGCGAATTAGAGAAAGCGCAACAAACCAACCAAAAAAACACTACTTAAATTTGGTTCAAATTAAATCGGGGTCAGTTCAAACCCTGGAAGATTTTCCAGAACAAAAGTAGGACATTGGGCAATGATGCTAGTAGTTACTTTAATTTAGATAATTAAATCAGAGCAATGAATTTGGTGAACAAATAAATAATTCCTGGTCTCATTTAGAAAAAGTACCTTTATTTGATTTGAAGTAATTGCTGCCGTTTTCCGCGCTAAAAAAGGCTAAGCCATATTTCTAGAAAAACAGAAATTCTAGGACAAGCACTTAGATAATAACAATTAAATAAGAGCCCATTTAAAAGCGGGCCACCTCCACAAAACAAAGACGTAACTCCAACCCCAAACCAGCCCAATGCCTTCCATCTCAACCACTCTTCTCATCCACACTTTCAACGCCTCCGATGTACACGAGAGGCACAGCCGGGAGTAAATATACCAACAAGCAACTAGTGCCAAGAAGTGTCGTTGAAATACGGTGCATACGCATGACAGCCCGGCAACGGCTAAGCTTCCCCGCCCGCATCTCCCGTCCCTAGCATCTAGCTACGTAGTGTCCGTCCATCCACCCCACGATCTTTCGCCCCTGTAAATCTAATCTTGCACGCAGAGCGGCCGACAATGAGTGACCACCGCTTATGACTGTACCGTACGCCGTATCGTCGTCAATGATATCAGTGGCTTCGTACGGAGGCCGTCCCCTGAAATGGAAAAACTGGGATGGGATCGGCATTGGGATTTGCAACTTTGCCAGGGAGAACGGGAATATCCCCGTGGTGATCTGGTTGGGTGTGGAGTGATACACTCAGCAGTCAGATCTTCCGTGGCGGGTATGGCGTGCGACGGAAGGAAGGCGGGGTACAAGCTTTGAGATGTAGATACCGGGGTTTGACGTGCCCGCACTTTTTTCTTGGAAGTCTGGGCTGGGTCTTTGGTGTCTATTCTAGTTCGATTTCAGCTTGGCCAGAGTCACATGAATTTGTTCCAGCTCCAGAGGTTGTATGTATCTGTAAAAGTTGTGGAACGCTGAAAAGTCATGCTGAGAAGATGTTTTTGATAATTTACAAATTCCTAATAATACATAGATCTACCATCTTACAATTTTGAACTTCTTCTACCATCCACACTTTCTCTTAAAAACAATCTCTCGCCAATCGTCTAGTCATCATTGACTCCAGCATTCAAGCTATCCTCCTGTGCGTTGTACTTCCGGAAGAACACATAAAACAGAATTGTAGTCAAACACATAGCCCCAGCAAGACTAGCATACATAGCCAACAACTCCGGATCGTGGTAAGTCGGACTGAGCGCAATTCCAAGGAGCGCTGCAAACGCAAAAGCAAGAGACAAAATAGCTTGCACAACAGCCTTCATACTCTTCGGTGCTTTCGTGTAGGCATATTCATACATAGCAGGAAAAGCGAAAGCTTCACTGAAACCTTCTAGAACATAAATGGGGACCTGAGCCGCAACGTTCACGGCGTTTGGCAAGAGTCCGTTGTTGGAAGCGGCGCATTTGCGGGGTGCTGAGTAGCAGGGTGGTGAGTCGTATATCCAGCCTTGAACGCCGGCTGCGAAGGCCATGGCTGGAACCTCGAATGCGAATCCTAGAGCCATTCGAGTGATAGGGGGAAACTTGATTCTGAAGCGGCGAAGGAGGGGGTAGAGAATGTGTGTGATGAGCGGCATGAGGATGACGACCGTGATGGAATTGACGTTGGGAAGTACATCGTTTGGAATTCCATGGGTCTGCATGTTGGCAGCTTGAGAGACGGTGTTCGTTGATAACTGGTTTTGACACACCGTGAGGACGATTATGGGAAGACTGGGTGGTGTTAGACGATTTGCTGGGAAAGAGTGAACAACTTACAATGTCCGGCATGCAATCAGCCCTGTCTTCAAGTCGGTAATGAATTTATTATCCCAATCCACAACTCCACCATCTCTTGCACGGACTTCTTCTGGTCGAGCGGCCTCCATCCGGAATCCGTTTTTGCCTGCGATTACTAGTGCACTGCACGCTGGCCGTATTGCGTTCTTTTCTCTCTCAGCGTAGACTAAATTGTGTCAGTAGATTAGAGTATCATATTGTGAAGAATTTTATCACCATAGAGTCGGAAACCGGACATGAATACCAGCAATGACAAACACAGGAAAATGGTAGACATTGAGTACGTTGACCAGAATCCAATATCTTTCTCCATGAAAGTACTGGGGATGCGAGACAGTGCTCCCACATTGACACACCTGACATATATTAGCAAATTGAGCAGGACAGTTGCGAAGTTGTCAAACATACCAGTAGTATATGTTGAAGGCATACTCTCTAGTTGCATCACGATCTATGACAACTTTCTCGCCATTCTTAGTGACCTTCAGCTCTTCGGCATCAGTACCGCAATTATCCGCTGTAACATAGTTAGTCTATACAGCGACCAAAGGAATATTTGCGAAATAGTACCTAAGAAAGGTGGAAGAGCAGCCTTCACCCCGGATGTACCAACACTGATCACCAGCAAAGCCACGATGAGCCCTGGTAAACCAGCACCTTTCTCCAGCAGCGCTGGAATGGATGTGATCGTCAATATAAGAACACCCGTAATATAAATACTACAACGAAGTGAGCCTACATTCTTTAACACTTGGGAGCCGACTTCAAACCTCATAGACCAACAAATGGTCCGAAATCGACCAAGATGCTCATCCGAAATAACAGCAGCAAACATTGGCGTAATATAGCTCAAAGCCAAGAAAGCATTATTCAGAATTGACGCAATGGATTGTCCCATTCCCAAGGCGCCTGGTCGTAAAGGATCATGGAAGGAATTTTGGATGTAGTTCTCTGTAATATTCGTCAGACTACCGGTGGAAAGTCAGAAGCATAGAAAACTTACGCAAAGGTCCAATGAAAGAATAATACGCGAATCGTTCCAGCAGCGTAGAGATTGATATCAACCAGATGGCCAGAGGTATTCGTCCTGGTACTCGTCGAAGAGAGTGTCTCTCTCCAGCTGACATTTGGTCTTCGTCTCTCGTAGCAGGCCTGTTATTTGTATCAGTGTTTCGAAGTTTGTTGTATTGGCAGGGAAGTGATTCACGGAGTGTCAAGTTCGATAGATGGCGACATTGTATTGCTTCTCGGGTTCATTTTTGGACTTGTAATTTTCAACACCACAAAGGTTTTGATCTAAATCAATACTTTCGTGAAAGCAAACGAAGGTCGAAGCCTCTTGATGGCAAAGTACCATACCGCTAAGCGACAACGCTGAGTCGTAAAAGAGCAATAATCGCCTCCTCCGACACGACGACGGTGGCCTTGCCCGACAATCGATGTCGTAGCCATGATGGACATTGAGCTGAGTACGTTGGACTTTCTCATCAATCTTAGTCCCCGAACGGGTACTCTATTCCTGCATGTAGAATGCGATCCGGACCCGTGCCGTGCCTGCAGTGTAACCCGAAAGCCTGGCAAGCTTAAAATCGGCACGTCACTTTTTCGTTGCCGGATTTAGCGTCTTTATCTGCTGGAATGGCTTGCTTGCAGGCTCGTAAATGTACGTCCATAGGTATGTCTCAGTGAGTTTTGCCACTGTGTGACTTTGCCTTCGTGGGGGAGGGGCAAATATATGGTAGACCCTGTAAGTTGTGGGGAAGGCGGCTCAGAAAGTGGTTCGTGTCAAATGCATGACAACATGAGTCAGCTTCTGGTTTGCATGGTACGGGCATAACCCAGTCTTCTGAATCAGGAAGCTTAAATGTTGTTGCAGATCACTTAGCCTTTTGGCAAGTCGTAACGAAGGCGCCATCGTTGCCGGGCAGGTCTGGAGAGATCATCGCCTTTCCAGACTCTCAGTTTATTTCCCTTGACAATCGCAGGGGAATTCTAGAAAAGAACCCACTTTATTAACGGTACAAGGCGGGAATAACCCAAAACATGAATTCAAAATGTGAGACATTGGCGGAAAACAATGTCTCGTCCCAGTTGTAATCTAAAATTCTCGGTGATCCACTAACCGCTACATGCAACCTTGCCATTGTCAGAAAAAGGCAAAAGAAAAGGTGAGTATGCGTTACTTGTACGTTACTTGTATGTCGGCGCTTTTGGCTCAACGAGCCTATTCTGTTAAAACTTCTGAAGATCCTTTCAGAAAGACTGCATCTGTGAAGAATATTCCTCAATCTAGTGAGTTTCGAATGAGATACAAGGAAACAGGCAATAGCATCTCATCAAGCAGATTTCTTTTCACGAGAGTAGAGCAAAAACGAACTTTTCCAAAGAGGAAAGAATGGTACTTTTGAATGATCGAGAGAGTGAAGACTATGAAAACATCCAAGAGAGTGACGTCCGAACCAGCACATTTTCCTGCTTCCAGAACCAAAGAAAACAACGTCAATCACATCTAAGAAACCCAGCAACAGCCAACGTCCCCGCACTAGCTCCCTCGTACATCTTTGCAGCACCTTCAAACCAAGAAGCGCTTTTCCTGAACAAGCTTCACCATCTCCCTCAACTGCGGCATCGGCATATGAACCAACCACTGATCCCCAACAAACCCACTCAGCATACTAATACAAAGCGCTCGATACCTATCATGCACCACCTGCTCGGGAACAGTCTGCCCGACACCCGTGCGCGGGACAGCAAAGACTTTCTCGCGCCCATGCAAGACGCGGTAATTGTCCCAAAGGAACATATCGCCCGGCTTAAGGTTAACCTTGAGCTGGTGCGTGTCCCGTCTCATGACTTCAAGGAAGCGTTTTTGCGCTAGCCGCGCCTCGTCATATTCTTCGTAGGGAGAGAGCAGACTGCCGATGAAGTTTGGGTGCCAGCGGACGCGCTTGAATTGGTCGCTGGTGCCGGGCTGCATGGAGACAGCCGTGTCGACGGTCATTTGCGAGACGGCTTCGCCGTAGAAGGCGGAGACGCGACCTAGTGTCATGGGATCGTTGCAGAGGTGGTGATAGGACTCTGGGTGTTCTTCTTTGAGGGTCTGGAGTGCGGCTAGGACGGACACGAAGGTGTTCTCGCTTTCGCCTTCGAGGATGTACCATCCTTGGACTTGGATGGGCGTCTCGTAGAAGGCATGGTCTGCGTGGGGTAGCAGGACCTGTGAAGTGTCGTAGTTTGGGAGTTCTTTCCTCTTGTCTGCTTCGCTACTGCGGGAGGAGACGTTGAAGGATTTATCTGCCCCGCGGGTAGGATGGATGAACACAGAGCCGAAGATCTTCTTGAGGATCAAGGTGCAGAGGTTGTTGACATGATTCAACTCGTCTTCATAGTTTGGGTCGGGAAGGTCGACAATCTTGACGAGTCCGGTCGAAGAAGCACCAAGTAGGTGATCGAGAACAGCAAGCATGAGGGTATCCATGCGCTCAGGCTCGGTTTCAGTATCGAAGAGCTCCTTGTAGGAGACATCTGGAATGTTCAAACTCTCAACAGTCCATCCTTGGGTTGGTGCATCAGTTGTGATGGCGGAGTTTCCATTAGACTGCAAAGCTACAATGGGAGCCATGACGCGGAGCCACTCAACGGGGAACTTGGAGCTGAGTCCATCACTCCAGGTGACATCCAAAGTGACCATTGAGTCTTGGGTGTTCATCTCTGCGCTATCAATGCGAACCGTTTCGTCGGATTGCGTGCTGATGGCAGTAACAGTATTCCTGGAGGCCCCGTCATCGCAGCGGGCGTCGTGGAGCCATTGGGAGTGAAAGGTGAACTCTCCGTCAGGGAAGATGACGGTGACTTTGTTTCCCTTGCTGCATTTCTTGCAACTAATGGTGGATTTCGCGACCTTTTTGGTGTCAGGACTTTGTCCCTTCCAGGTAACTTCGACCTGAGTGGGCAAGGTAGGGAGCAAGGTTGAAGGCATGATTTGCAAGATGGGTTGCGCAGTGAGCAGTCTTTGAGTTGACTAAGATAGCTGTGTTTTGTTTTTGAGACAGTCGAGAACATAAATAACTTGTGTTGGGAAAAGCTGAGATGAGTGATAATGGTTTCTACAGAGCTGGGTGAAAAGGATATCTTATATACTGAGCTGTGATTGATATTCGTTCTTGAATCTTCGCAACGCAATAATTACATCATTCTATCTGACATCATTCTTTCGAATTGATTTCTGGACAACTTCTTGTGATCAGCAGAGGAGCCGTCTTTCGAATCCAATAGAGATTGTTGAAAGAGACATGCTTGGAGTATGTTTGGCGATATTCAAGGGAGCAAATCGTCACAGAGACGGGCTCTCGATGATATGACAGCAATTGCACTTGAAAACACTTGTCGATCTCTCTTTAGGTATCTACCTTCTATCTTGAGGTTTCTGATGCTGGTTATAGCTCACTACGGTATGTGAACTAGACTTAAATGAAAGGAGATGGCATTTGTCCGTTAGCCTTCAACTAGCTCTGGGCCGAAAAGGCGGGCTCGCACTAACTCTGTTTCCATACACAGCTAGCACTATTTGAGACCATCAACAGTGTTTACTCCTTGAGTCGAGTGCAGTCGAATCAGGTCAGGCTATTTAACAAAGACTGAATGAAGAACCTAACTTCGCTTGTGTCTAAGCAAGCTCGTGCTTGAATCTGAGTAGGAAACAAGACTCAAAAGAAGAGAGGATCAACATAAGACCCGACCGTGATCTACAGTCTGTACAACATGGCCTTGAGTTTGGGTCAACTCGGAGTCGCCTAGCCTTGCTTGGGCTTTCAAATCTCCGTAAGTAGTTCCACACCGCTGTGACTTAGAAAAAGTCAGGACTAGAGATCGAATTTCCAAGATCAAAACTTTTGAAGTGTCTAAAGACTCGGGTCTAGCAACGGGTGTGACCCCACGTCAGAAGAATACATGATCACCCCTGTGAATGATTTACTGCCCAATGCGACCTAGCGCCCCAACTACAGGCTCAGACAACAACTCGGGAATAACAGGTTCGGAACTTCCCATTGTCCAATCGTTCGAAAAGAGATGCAAGGGCTTCATTCAACGATTGTTCAAGTAGCGAGTTACAGTCTCATGATACGTGCAGGGGCGCTTAGAATGTTGCATGCAACCGGACATACCGAGGAGGCGCGCTTCATGTAGCTCAAATCATAACCCTGTTAACACGAGGTTTTTCGGCCGATCCCCGCAATTTCATGAAACGAACTATTGAAGGGTGTTCTTGGGTTGTATGTCGTCATGTGCAGGATGTGTGCAGGACGCATGCCCTTGGAATTCTGTCGTGCCGCATATAAACTATGTATGTACGAATGCGGAGTGGACAAAGCGAGGAAGGAAGATCAGAAAGCGAAACTCGTAGAAAGCCATTACATAGCCATTGAACAATGATAGCATGGTATTGCACGTATGGAATCTGTTTTTGGATGAGAGAAGCGGAGACTTCAGAAAGGGTCAAATGTGATCCCCATATCTGAGAGATAATACTTTCTTCCAATCTCTTTAACAAAAGTCACCCAACGCCGATACAACACGCACTTTCTTACACTCAAAACATCAAATAACACGAACTACTTTCCAAAACATAAGCATGGGATCGATAACTCTCACAGAGATCAACTTCCGGCTTGGCTGGCCAAACCCCGGCCTACTTCCTGTGGATCTCATCAAAGAAGCAAGTCAGATAGCGCTGTCTCAAAGCGAAAACTTCACTCGAGAAAGTCTGCTCCAGTATGGTCCTGACGATGGCTACGTGCTTCTGCGTGAGAAGATAGCAGGATGGCTGACCTCGTTCTACGCACCTGAACGAGCAATCACCCAGGAACGTCTGTGTATCACTGGAGGTGCTAGTCAGAACCTCTCATGCGTTCTGCAGTCATTCACGGAGCCGTCTGTCACTCAATTCATCTGGATGGTGGCGCCTACATACTTCTGTGCCTGCCGTGTCTTCGACGATGCTGGATTTGCTGGCAGACTGCGAGCTGTTCCCGAAGATGACGAAGGCATCGACATTGGATATCTAGCTGAACAGTTGGAGAGATGTGCATCTCAAGAGCAGATCCCCAAGGACTCTATGAAGACGTTCAGGACCTGGAGCAAGTTCTATCGACACGTTATCTACACAGTGCCAACCTTCGCAAATCCATCTGGCCGAATCATGAGTCTGGCTCGAAGAGAAGCGCTGGTGAGACTCGCTAGAAAACACGACGCACTGATTGTCTCAGACGATGTCTATGACATGTTGCAATGGGACTGCCATGCAAGCAAAGAATTCAAGCTTCGCAAGACAGCTTGCCAATCAAGATTCGTTGACATCGATGCTCACCTCGATGGTGGCCCAATCGACGACTTCGGTAACAGCATGAGTAATGGCACATTCAGCAAGATCATGGGGCCAGGCTTGCGTACTGGTTGGGCTGAAGGCACACCAAAGTTCGCTTGGGGATTATCTCAAACGTAAGTACAATGAAAGACAAGACTCAGAAGCTGTGGGTTGAGAGGCTGACAGGAAAACAGAGGATCAACTAGATCAGGTGGATGTGCATCTCAATTCGGAGCCGCGATACTAGCCCAGCTCATAGACACATCGTTGCCATCTTATCTGCACACGGTATTGCAGCCGACTTATGCTCGACGCTATTACAAACTCATAAGTGCCATAAAAGAGTATCTGCTACCGCTAGGAGTGGCCGTATCGCCGCCTGATAAGAGTGGGATGGCAGGAGGATATTATGTATGGCTTCAGTTGCCCGACCATGTCAAAGTACAGCAGGTCGTTCAGCTTGCGTCAGAGCAGAACTTGCTTCTTCATCCTGGAAGCATGTTCCTGGTTGAAGCGGATCTGTCGAAGTGTCAACAATCCTTCTTGAATGGTGTCAGAGTCTGCTTTGTCTGGGCCGACGAGGATCTTCTCATTGAAGGTGTGGAGCGTTTGGCGGTTATAGTGAGGGCATTGTCTGTCGATACGATCCCCACTCTGGCGCTTTAGATTAACCATAAAGCTGTGAGAGGATCAAGGACATATCGTGGCAAATTTCCTGGCTGTTGACATCTACTTTGCTTATATAATGTCATTAGACTGTCATCACATGATTCTGTACGGAGGCCCGATGCAACAATCGTGCAGATCTCCCTCCACTCCACTTCAATTCAGCCTGAACCAAAACACCATGACATCCCCAGCTTTCACAACCAAAATCAAGCTCTCCTCATATCTGGACCGTCCCGTCGGCTCCCTCGTTCCTGTCGTACAATCTATTTCCAATTCGCCGGTCTCTCGCTCGGTCTCGTCATGCTTGCCGTTGCAATGTCCGAGCAACGCTAGATGATGTAAATTCTCTAGAGTCTTGACCCCTCATCTGAATAACTTCAACCGGCGTTCCGTGATTCGACAAGCTGCGGTCTATCTCATCTGTACCTTAATAACGCGGGGTTATTTTGACAAGGTTTGCCTCCTCTCATCCGTGTACGTGATGCTAGAGCACATATGATCCGGAAAAACATGCGGAGGACGGAATGGAAAGCTCATCTACAAAGTTTGCGCCAGGAACAGTACTATATTAAGTGGGCTCTTGTCTGTTTCTTTTTCTCTCTTTTTTCTTTTGGTGCCCAATTGCTTTACATTTCGCTTTTAACTCAATTCATCATGCAACTCCAAGCTCTTGCTTTCCTTGCTGCGAGTGCAGGAGTCCTCGCTTCATGGGTCCCATATTTCGATAACCTGGTCACTTTTGGTGACAGGTGAGTGCTGAAAAATATCCAATGTGCCAATTAATTCCTGACAGTGTACAGTTACACTGACGAAAGTCGCCTCGGATACTTCATCAGTCACAATGGTACAGCTCCTCCTGCTGGACTGCTTCTTCCAGAGTCCTTCAACACTCCTGGTGGCGGGATCACATGGGATAGATGGGTCTCGAATTATACCGGAGCAAAGCTCTACGATTATGCTGTCTCAGGAGCTGTCTGTTCAAACCAGATCGTATATCGATACTTGGCGTCAATTTATGGACCGTTCCCAGACGTTGTCTACGAGGTCAACGCGTTCATTGCCGACGTTGATTACATCAATGCTACGACACACACCAACACCCTCTACACGAATCGACGTGACAGCAATACGGTCTACTCAATGTGGATTGGAACAAATGACCTCGGAGTGGATGCTTTCTTGACTGACAGCAGTCTCAACATGACGACGATCCCTGACTACGTTGACTGTATCTTTGATCGGTTCGACTCAATTTATGCTCAAGGTGGACGATACTTTGTGCTGATGAACACTGCACCTTTGCAATTATCACCACTCTATGGGATGCCAGACGCTGGTGGGCTGAACACAAGCCATTACTGGCCTGACAAGGTACTGCACCCTTTCCGAAGTCCAAACCCAAGACTAACAATATCCAGCCATCAAACATCTCCGAGATCAGTGGCAAGATGAAAGAATACACCTCTCTTGTAAACTCCATCTTCTCATACCGAACCCCCTACGAACTCATGATCGCCAAGCGCTATCCCGGAGCCTCATTCGCCCTCTACGATGTCCACAGTCTACTCACCGACCTCTACTACAACCCCACCGCATTCGGCCTAACAGCTCCAGCGATAGTTGACGTTCCCTACTATCAGTGCGACCCTTCGGGCGTTACTTGCGTTTCGAGCAATATGACGCTTGATCATTACATGTGGTATGATGAATTGCATCCCAGCCAACAGACAGATGAGGCTATTGCGAGGGAATTCGTGAATGTGGTGAAGGGGGCGAGTAAGTATGCTACTTATTGGAAACAATGAATGAGAGAAGAGAGGTATACATTAATAGATAATATATCAATGATTTCTTACGAGCAGTGTGGTGGTACAAATATGCGGCTATGCGAGGGCTTGTGAGCATGCAGAAAGGGCGGCATGGGTCTGCTTCTTATTGGGCTGTGCCAAGGTCATTGCTTTCCTTCGTGGCATGATGTTGTTTTCTTTTTCTGCAATCCATCTGCGATTCTGCAAAGAATCACCCACCTTCTTCCCAGCCTTCTCGTGCTCGGGCAATTTTATCCGGGCGCAATCATTCAAGGTATGTCGTCTCGGCCTCGTACTGGCTTTCTGTGTCCCGATCTCGGCTGCTTCGGGTCATCTTATGTTACTGACATACAGTAAGACTGATGCCACAGAAGGGGGATGATTGGAATTCTCCGTGCAATGACTTGTGACTTTGAGAGCGGATAGAAATATCATAGCTATTTATTATGCTGATAACAATAGAAGTATCATGTTCGAAGTGTATATATATGTCTCATATATCTTGAGTTCAAGGTAGCACCTCCAATCCAAGTTCTGCCTTGATTTTATACAGCTCGTATAAGTGACCCCCACATCTGACAATTGTCCCCTCTCCATCCAAGCATCCCCATCTCAATGCATCTCTTGTCCGGGCGATCATGGCTCTCAATAAAGTGATTCGGTGTAATGTCGTGCATCCCTAGTCTGATATTTGAGGTCTTAGCAGCGTCAGGGCCAGCCAGTCAGCGGACTGGGCTTCCCGTCGGCCCTGGTCGGTTCGCCTCGTCGCATGAAATTCTCTTCGGAAAGGCATCCTGAACCAACCTGAACCACCACTTCAGCCCTCCTACCGCATCCCCATCCCATCCCATCCCATCCCCATCACATCCCAACCCCAGTGGCCATCCACAAACCGCCGCCGTCCATTTACCGGCTCAGCTCTCATACATACCGACCACCATACCGTATCGACATCCTCTCACACGCGGTACATACCTTATTCGCACGTCCTTTCGGGTGATAGCCATGGTTGCTGGCCTATCATCGCCCGATTAACGCGATGTACGCACCTGCTTACGGCTATGGCCCGGGGAACACGTCTGCACAAGCACAAGGACCCTTCAATCCCAATTCATCTCTTCCCAATAATCCCAATGGTGTCCCTCCACAACAGCAGCAGAACCAGCAGCCCCATGCCCCTCTCTCCCACCACCACCTCCACCAGCAGCAGCAGCAGCAGCAGCACCATCCGCAGATGTATAATCCACAGGCCCAGCACGCTCAAGCTCAGGCTCAGGCCCAGGCTCAAGCTCAGCAATATGCCGCCGTTGGACACTCGTCTCCCTACGGCGGCGCGCCTGGTCCCAGCATGGGCGGAAATGCAGGTGCTATGGGAATGATGCAGCAGAATAACGGTATGGCGCAGATGCCCGCTTCCCACGGTATGTTGCACAAAGAGTAGCCTCTCGAACTTTACTTGGACCTTCTCACTCTGCTTCAATCGCCTACCCGCGTCTGCCTGAACACATCCGCAAGCTTCACTCGAGGACAAGAAGAAGCTTCTGCTGTCCGTGCCGCAGACAACGGGAGCCTGTCAACGATCAAGCTCGAGTCCACTATGTCCAGCTTTGCACCATGTCTATCTTCCCCATACTTGCTTTCAGCCTCGTGCCCTGGCAAACAATGGCTAACGCTCTTCTTATATGCAGTATCTACCTATCAAACCCCATATTCGAGCTCTCCTTACGGAGGAAATATCCCAACGTCAACTGGCGCGAACATGCCTCCGAATTTCATGCCCACAGCCTCGAATGCGCCGTCCTTCCCTATGAATGCTCCAAGCATGAACCCACAACATCAGGCTCAGCGCATGCAACCACCTCCTAATTCCTCTACACCTACACAACCAGGCCAGAGAGCATCACCATTTCCTGGTGTCCAGCATAATACCCCTCCGAATGCCGGACAAGTGCAGTCACAATTCTCGACACCTCAAAGCAACAATCAGACACATTTACAAACTCCAAATCATAATCAACAAGCTCAAGGACAAGCAGTACTAACCCCACAAACACCAAACTTCCCGCCAGGAGCAAGTAGTGGTGGACCAGTTGCAACACCTTTAAGTCCAGGATCGGAGTCGCGTGAGAAGGAGAGAGTCACCTTATTATTAGAGATCAACAATGGATTACTGAAAGAAGTTATGCGCGTCCAAGCAATCCAAGCTGAGGTGAAGAAAGACGAGGCGGCTGCGGCAGCGGCATCTCCCGACGGAGCAGACAAAGAAAAAGCGGAGAAGGAGAAGGCTGAAAAACTAAAGACACCGTCCAGGGAATACGTAGAGTTCGTACAAAACGCTACCTTTCAAGATTGCCAGCTAACATACCTAGATGCATGCGCCGACTACAGTCAAACCTAGCCTACCTCGCAGCGATTGCTGACCGCTCCCACAAACCATCCTCACAAATCCCTCCCCACCCCGCAATCATGAGCGCGCCGCCTCTCTCCCCCAAATCAACCTCATCCCCTTTGTCGGAAACCAAAAAAGAAGAGTCGGAAGACAGCAAAAAGCCAGACGAATCACCATCAGAAGACCACTCCGAAATCCTCAAAGACCTGTACAAGAAACTGCAAGCCCTCTTCCCAGGCGTCGACCCCAAGAAAGAACCACCGATCCCAGCAGCAAACCAGACTGCGCGAGCAGCCGCAGCACAGCAGCAGGGTAATAAGCCAGCAGGGGATCTGAACGCGCAGCAGAAGATGCAGAATGATATGTTGCGGCAGAAGATGATGCAGGCGCAGCAGAATCAACAGCAGCAGATGAATATGCAACAGCAGCAACAGGGACAGGTGCAAAGTCGGTAGTAGTCAAACTTAGCTTTTGAGGCGGATATATAAAATCTGGAGTTGTTGGATATTATAGGAGTCGGCTGGCTGGGTTACTTTGCATAGGTTTGTTGGGTGGATGGACGGGGTTGGGCGCTTTGCCGTCGTTGTCATTGTCTTTTATTTGTGTGGTATACCAGTTCGTTGATTTAAGGTGGTGGTGTATGATGAGTTGGGTTTGGAAAATGAATGAATGAATGAGGGAGAGCTTTCCTCGATGTTTTGAATGTGTGGTTTTGTTTTATTGTTTGGATTCAGTCCGTGACGTTGAAAGTGTAAAATTCTCTCCTATCCCAATTTTCCCACATTGTTTAACCCCTCTTCAAGACATCACAACCTCATAATTTGTCGCCCGAAGCCGGACATGCTTCCTCTGTCACTCTCTCACTGCCTCTACAGGTCAATCCCTCAAAACGTCCCCAGACAATGAATGCTCTTCGAAGATCTTTCCAGCCTGTCACTGTTGACCAACCGCTCTTAGACTATCTTGTTCACAGCCAGTAACGTCCTTCTTCATAGCCTGAAACTCTTCACAAACTCCACACTTCTGTTTTCTTTAATTGTGCCTTGAGTGTCTTGATCACTGTTGATGTTTCGATTATCAGATATAGGGACCGTACTTGTATTTTGTTTTTCCCCCGAGCTCTACTTTTCTCGAATCGAATCAAAGATCGTTGGGCTTTCAGCCACGATCTCGGTCACTCAGCTTTAGCTACGTGTATTGGGGACTGTTCGTTCTAGGGTGTGAAACCAACGTTATATACCAAACCAAAATCAAGTACCCCACCAAAAACAAGAGTCATGAATGTATCAGCATTAAAAGACATGTATTAATGTAGCACTCCCTTAACATCTCTTAACAAACTTTCATCAGCAATAAAGAACCCAAGACAACGCTTGCAAATGGGTTGTAGTATCTTTCCCCAGATACGTAATAAGGAATAATTATCAGAGATTATAGATATACTCTCAGCAGTAAGAACTAGTACGTTATTGTAGATGGAGGATAGTGGGCAAGATACATAGAAATCTGGATGTTGTGAGAAGGAGATATACTCGAGTGTTGGTTGGGCCAAATGCGCGAATAGCCCAATTACACTCAACAGTTTCACACACAAGTTCGGTGGTGATTAAGAAAAGAAGACAGAGAAAAGAAAAGCACACATTCCAGATCATCATTCCATTCATGCTGCTAAAGTATCTATGTACTCAATTGATCCCGCCCTTTTTCACTCCTCGTTTCCACTCCGCATATTCGTCCACCAACACTTTCCCCCCTCTGCATGATGTTATTTTCCCAATCATAAAAAACGCCATCCCTCACTATCATACACAAAAAGAGCAACCGTCCCCAATTCGCTTATGACCAGATCGTCGTACCACCCAGTCCAATATCTTTCGCTCACGCCTCGCTATGCATGCAAATAGCTGAAGTAAAAAACAAGCAAGAGGGTATCTATCAAATCTGGATATTCCCATGCAAAACACAAAAGAAGAGTTTGTGAGTTTTTTGTTGCAGATTTCGCTTCGCTCGTCAAAGCGTCAAGAAAGGAAAGAGAAGAGAAAAAAATAAAGTAGCAAAACAACCATCATATCGTGTATCATCAGTTCTACCAGGCCCTGGATCATACCGCCAGATTGGGAACCGGGATAAGCACTTTTAGTCGAGTACTGAAACGTCGTAGAGCTGTTCGAGGTCTTGTTGATGTCGGCCGAGTCGAGAGCGCCTCTAAAATTTGACCGAAAACCCGGAAAGTGATCCACCTTTTAATGCGTCTTCTTTCTTGGTCGTCGTGAATCAGCGGCAACATCACCATTCTGCATCCTCTCCTTCATAATAACAAAGCATTTGACAACAGCCTCGTGAACAGTCGTATGCTCCGCCCACTTCAGCATAACTGCTTGATCCTCCTTCAAGCCCATGCGGTAAGTCTCCAATCCTTTATCATCAGCCCATCTCTTATCCTTCAAATCATCATTCTGATTCTTTCGGGCAACCATGTGTAAGAGGAATTTTGCGTTGAATCGATCCCACTCTTGCATATACTTTTCATATCGGTGGAGATAGTCGTCGTATGCGGCACGGGAAGGTATGTCCTTGTCGGTAACGGGTGGTGAGGGTCCTAGAGGTGGAGTAGGCATAGCGAGAGTGGAGATGATGTCCTTGACTTTCAGATCTTCGAAGGCTACCTTCAATTCACTATCAACTGGCGATGCAGAAGCAGAAGCTGCTGGACGCTTGAGATGCTCCGTGTTCAACTTTCCGTTAGGCTTGGCAAATTGAGGTACAGTATTGCTGACAGGTGGAGTGTCGACATCCATAGGTTCTGGACTACCAATGATAGGTGGAGAGGCTTTCGGTGGAGATGCGCTCTTTCGGCCGGTGAAGAGGGGCTTCTCATCAGAGCTATCACCATCATCAACAACTGCTGCATTACCGCCCATTGTGGGTTTGAGGGATCTCTTCCGAGCAGGACCAGTACGAGGTGTCATCGGTGGAGGCATGAAAGTTTGTGGCTTGAATGTCTCCGCCCAGTCCTGAGCCGAGAACTTTGTTCCTCCAGGAGACTCAATTGGTGTCTGCTCCTCCGATCGTGATGGCATACTAAACATTGGCTGAACCTTGATTGGCGATCTTCCTCTTGCGCGAGAGTTCGATTGAGACCGAGGGCGCTGCGGGGTGCTAGAAACCTTTTCTGGTTGGAAGTAGGTACCACCGGCTTCGAACTTTCCATCCCAGTCTTCAGGAGTAAACTTTGTGCTGATGTTCTCGGCGCTGTTGCTAAAGCCATTAGTCTTTGGGGGTTGAGTCTTTGTGAATGAGTCGTTGTTGAGATTGAACGAGAAACTAGTATTGGCTCTGTTAGCTTCACTTTTCATGTGCAGGTGGTGATCCCAAAACAAGCGACGCTTCTGGAAATCATATGTATGGTTGGCTTGTAGATGACGCAGGGTCTTGAACTTCTTAGACGGGCTTCCCGGTTCAGTAGAAGGGTCCCTATATTGTGTCCAATCGTCTTGCTTGACGTCGTTCATCGACAGTCGAGAATGGCTACCGGCGTTGGTCTTCGGTGCCTTCTCATTGGGTGTCTTGTACTGGTCATCCAAGCTAGCCTGACGCTTGTTTGACAGAAGACGGTCGAGATGAGAACGTTGCATTTGCTCAAATGCATTCAGACTGTCTGGGCTGGCGGGGACTCCACTGGGAGGTGTCGCCGGCGTCGCGCTTGACAAGTCCGGGTATTTGACTGATGTAGCAGGAGGGTAGGCTGTAGCACGCAACGGAGAAGCCGCAGCTAGCTTTTCTGAGAACGTCTCAAACTTCACTGAATAGCTTGAGGGTCGTCTGCTGTCGAATGAAGTAGGAGTGGGACAATGGCTAGGGGTTGTGAAAGAAGGACTAGCATACATTGATGGTTCGCCATTTGCCTTCGGAGTAGGCTGACCAGACCGAAGTGGGGGTCCATCTGCACCGAAACCGTTAGGAGGTGGTTCTTGACCGGGATTTTCCTTCATCCATTGTCTCATCTGCTGGATTCGACTTTGCTTACTTGTGGTTTGGGTCTCGGGATCCGTGGTAGAACCTGCTTGCTTAGTAGTCCGTGGAGATGCACCGTTGCTACGTCTAGCAGAAGCACGAGGTGTTGGCCTATTCATTTGGATAGGTTCATCCGATGAGCTGTCTGTATCGAGACTTTCGCTATATGATGGACGCGGAGCATGAGATTTTCGGTCGGCGAAGGATCGTGCACGATGTGGTGTGCCATTCTTAGATTTCAGGTTGGTGTCCGAGCCAGCTCTGGGGAAGTTGTCTTTGCCAAACCCCTCACTTCGCTCTCTGGTACTCTTCGACCGATTTATACCTGCTGCCGCACTTTCGAAAGGATTGAACTTTTCTCCGCCGTGAGTTGCATATGGTGTGCTTACTCTCTCCTCCATAGTGGGTGGATCCATTCTGAATTTCTTCAAAGGGTCTGTTCTACCAGTCGAAGGTCTTGGATTTTCAGTTGTCGCTGGAGGAGGCCGACGTGGTGGTGGTTCGGGTGCAACAGTAGGTTTGTCTCTTTGCGTAGAATATGCTCCTCTTGGCGCTGGAGGTTCATCTCCGCCAGGTGTATTTGGCATGAAGCCCTTTCGGTTGCTGGCATTGGTACTTTGACTCCTCCCATGTGAACTAGTTGAATCTCGGAACTCGTCAAAACCAGGTTGAGATCTAGGCGGACGAGTTTGAGATTGGGCGTTGCTCTCTTGTCGACCAGAGGTTGGAGTGCCTCTTGGGGGCGGCTGAGGGGCTTTCCATGTCTTGCCAGGTCCATGCTCGGTTTGATTTTGATGTCTTGTCCTGTCCCATGCTTCGTACTGAGCCTTCCTCGCTTGTGGTCCTTCTTGCGCCGCTTGATATGCTGAAGCATTCGGTGGGGTGAATTTAGCATACCTACCAGCTCCAGTGGATGGTGGTGGAGGTTGAGCTCGATTCCGAGCTGTCGGAGGTTTTGGAGGTGGCGCCCATTGTGCCCCTGCATTTGCCCACGGATTTCCTCTCACCCCAGAAGCTTGTCCACCACTATATGTATTCCTAAATGAACTCGAAGAGACTCTGATTCTGTTCGCATCATACTTGGCTCGTTCTGTAGGGTCGATAAGGACTTCATGGGCCGATTGAATCTTCTGGAACTTGGCCGTCACCTCGCTTTCACGTCCCGGGTTGCGATCTGGATGATAGGTGAGAGCTATTATGCGAAGTTAGCAGTAGTCACAGTTGCGGACCGTGGCAGGCGGTACCAAGCTTCTTAAACTGCTTCTTGATGTCCGCAACATCTGCGTTCGGTGGAAGCTCAAGATCACCATAGTAATCTCGACTGAGATCGGCCTTTACCATGTTGGTTGCCGCTTCAATCGCGCATCCGACAAAGGAAGAATTGAAGACCGCGCGCGATCAAAGATCATGTAGGGATATCGGCGGATGTCTCGAAGCAAGAAATCGTATTCAAAGTTCCGTCAATAGCGTTGGTTGTACAAAAGATGTCTGTTCGAACGCTGGGAGCGTAATACTGCTCAGCCCTGTCTAGAAGAGGAACGGTGACGCTAGCGCAGGTTTCTAAACGCGGGGCAGGAGCAAACGAACGAAGTGAAGATGCGAATTCGAAGAGACAGAAAGTTGTGTTGATCACTGCGCAGAGGTTTTGAAGAACCAAAGTACAATGGAGGGGATGATATTTGGAAAGGAGACCTGAGGTTGACCTCTTGGTTGCCTTGTGATACCGAACCGACGACAGAAATAATCACGACGCGAAGATTACCCGTTATCGTTATCGGGTTGTATTGTCCTCAATGACATCAGAGACGCTTTACCATAGGTAAGAATCACTGCAACTTCTGCCTATACAATGTCTTGAATCAAAGGATCTCAGTGGTTTACGACTCTATTGTTTCGACGTACCGTGGGGTCGTCTTCTCACCTGCATAGGCTGAGTTGCTGTCAGCTGCTGATCACGATAAGCAACGAATCCCTGTTCTCGAGCCTATCAACAACTCCACGTGATGAATATCATCCCATGTCAGGCGTTGATGTTTCTTATTCTTGCGATGATATCATTTGAGTTATATAAACAGTCCAGTCGGGGCATGCCCGGCAAGAGAACGCGGAAAGCAGATCAGGGACTGTCCTTGACAGCTTTGTCGAACACCACATCGTCTCCAACCACCATTTGTCTTCTTTCCCGTTAAATTGTTGTCACAAGTGGTGACACTCATTGCTTTTCATCCCGTATCCGCATGCCTCCACAGAGTGATCTCGAGTTGTAATGGAAGAAGCAGCTGTTAGGAGATGATTCAACAAATGATGTGGTTTTCAGTTTCCAGAGGATGTAAAGACACAGCGGGATCAATTGCAAATTCATCGTCTCTTTGTAGTCTGTCTGCTCAGTCACTTGCCTATCGAAAAGGTGAAAGCAAGAAATCAACACAAGCGAATTCGGCTGTCTGATTTGGAGTTGAAGGATCGCTAAGAGGCAATGAATCTAAGGTCAACTGCACACCTGTTGTCTAGGAAGTCAATTCAAAAAAGACAAGGTACTTTTACAAATTAGCTTTACATTGTTTGTTTAAGTTCACTCTATGATCATCCATAAATATCATGAAGCCAAACTTCTCAGTTGACCTGAAGCATTGTTAATTTCCCAAGAAAATACTTGCCTTTACAGAGAGTTGAAAGCAAAATCCTCCCTACTTTACCAAATTCTATTGACCACAAACACCTATCCTTAACTAACAACAAAGAGATCAATTCTTGTACTTTTCTACTTGCCGAATAGCTCCAGGTGCTCTACGTCCTTAAAATCCGAAAATTTGTGGTGCCTCACTACATTGCTCAAGCGCAAACCCAATGTCCAAAATTCCAAAGTGATCTCAGTACCCCGAACCTCAAATCAATCTCTAACTCTCCTCCTTTTCCACAACCACCCTCCACAAAATGAGAACACTACGCGACCATCACCAACCAACACACATCCGTACTGACCTCAAGCCCTCACCAAGGTCCTAGAGACTAGAACTTTCTCTAGAGACCATGCACAGAGTATGTTGACTGAAGTCGTATCCACGAGGCTTCAGGTCTTGAAGCCAAATCGTACTCTGATTGGAAGGACTGAGCATCCTTTCACAGCAAGGAAACGAGTTCTAAGTGTTGGAAAAGGATGTCAGCGAACTTTAGGGCAAGACCTATACCCTCGATACTTACAATTTCCGCGAGTTTGTCACTCTCACAACACATGGGGGAAAGGGTGTTGGTCTGCTGTCCAAACTTTGCGTTTACCCAACTGGCAGCTGAGGAACATTGAGTTAAACTCGAGATTAGGGAGGTGTGGAATCCTTGATACATGTGCCATGCAAAAATTTGTTTGTCCTCAAAACCAAAGACTGATGGATATCTCCACATCACTACTCAGAGGAAACACAACTCGCAGGTTCACATTTCAATATCACAGATGTAGATGAAGAGAATCCATTATCTTAACTCCAAACCAGCGATGCTCAACGCCTATTGATACTCCATAACACCGTGTTTCTGATGCAAGCCCGCATCTATCAAAACAAAGAACTACAATGCCAAAAAGAGTCTTTATACCGCACCACCACCACCCCTTCCCTTCACCCATCCATATCATACCCCGTGTCCATTTGTATTCATAAACATTCTTATACCATAGAATCATACGTCCATCCACCTTGTCGTCGGACCTGATCTCTCGCTTGGAGATCCTTGCGAATCTCATCTTCTGTCAATCTATCCGTACCAGACCAGTTGGCGCTCGAAGTACGAGCACGGAACTTATGGAATCGATCCTTGCTCTTACTAAACACCTCTTCCATATTGAGCGGACCTGGCTGTCCAAAGACAGCTGAAGGATCCATTCTTTCTTGCTCAACAAGTCTTCTACGAAGATCTGGTGAGTTCGTCCAATCTGCCGGAACGAAGTCATCCTTCTCACCATCTTCATCTTCTGAGTCTGTGAGAATATCAGGTAAGACAATATTCTCTCCATTTTGGTAACGGGGTGAGGATTTGGCTGCTGATTTCGCCGCAGACTTCCCAGTGCCATTCTGCGCACCAGGACGTGCTGGCGTCTTGTGGTTGGCTTGACTAGAGCTAGATGCGAATGGAATCGGAGCCTTCGAGACCTGAGCCATATCCATGGGGTGTGCAGGTTTCGACTGGTTCAAGTTATGTTGTGCGATGAGTGTGGATCTCTGCAAATTGCCTGGGGGAGGAGCATTTGCATAACCACTGGGGAACAGAGACTTGGTTGGTATATCCTGCATCAAATTAGCGTTGTGTTCATACAAAAAAGACCTCGACGTACCTTTTGGCGAATGCTTGATTGACGAATAGGAGGGGCAGTCATCTTGGGATGATCCTCTGTCATGTCCTCATCATCATCAAAGTCCTCGCTTGTCCTGCGGCGCTTGGACTGGTGCTCCTGTTGATATGAAGGCCCAATTCGTTGAAGTGCTGGCCGGACGTGATGATCCTCGTTATCTTGAGGTAGTGGTCGCTTAGGTGGGACTTTTGCAGTGCTGTGAAGCGTCGAATTTACCGAACGACTCATATCTTCTTGTGGTCGTTGCGTGGCAGGGTTCACTCGAGATGCCTTCGACTGGCCGAAGTCCCCTCGTTGTGGTGGCACAGGAGGTAGGGCCTTTTCCTGCAACATAGAGCTTCCGAGATCAACACTTGGCTGAGGTCGAACAGCTGGTGGAGGAGCTCTTGTTTCTTTGGCCTTCTCCATTTCCAGTCTCCTCTTCTCCGCTGCTTGGCGGGATGCCGCTTTCTTGGCATCTGCTGCACTGACTGCACGTTCACGCTCCTTTTGAACTTCTCGCTGGCGTTCCAATTCCTGCTTTCGTTGCAGCTCTTCCTTGCGGCGCTCTTCTTCCTTGTTAGCAGCGCGTTGGCGTTCGATTTCCAACTTGGCTTCACGCTTTCGTTGTGCTGCAAGTTCATCCTGAAAATGTTAGAGTATGTAATAAAACATACTGATATAGACTTACTTGTTCCTTCTTCCTGGCTGCAGCTTCCAACGCTTTGCTAGCAGCCGATTTGAAGCTACTTGTCGAAGCTTTGCTTTGTATAGAGCTCGTGCTAGCTTTGTGTCTCAGCCCTTGCGTAGGTGCGGATTGATGTGAAGCCAGAGAATCTTGCAGGGAGGCCGACAACGCAACATTGGAAGGGTGATTGTGGTGGCCTCGTTGAGAACCAGTATCAACCCGGATGACAGTAGGGGGCTTCACTTTGGTAGCAGCCTCCTTTGCAGGCTTCAATGGTCGTTTTGGTCCTGGTCGTCCGATCTGAGACTTCGGCCGGGGAATAGCTGGTGGGGGCATGGCTATAGAAGCTTCGGACATCTCTACTTCGGTATGTGCAAGCTCGTGAGTACTAGAAGCGGCAGCGGCAATGCCTTCTGCCTCCAATTGTGCTTTGGTCTTTCGCGGGCTAGTTCTAGTTGCTCGGGGAATATCAACTTGGCTGGCCTTCGCTTGCTTTTCTTGCTCCTTTCGGGCTGCAACTTCTTTCTGCATGGCAGCAACTCTTTCTTGTTCTATGTGGTAAACTCGAGCCTCTTCTCTGACCTTCATACGTGCTTTCTCCAATTGATCGGCTTGCTTTTGTGCTTCTTTTGCCTCCTTCGCCTCCTTCGCGAGCCTTGCGGATTCTTCTTTCTTCTTTTCCTCTCGTTCCGTTGATGCTCGTGTCTTGCGTGCACTATGTTTGAATGGGCTGTCTGGAAGCCTTAGTGACATCTGACTTTTATTGGTAGGAGCATGAGAACTGGTCGGACTCTTGTTATTCGCTTCTGACATGACATCCTCGAAAGATGGCGCATTTTTGAGACCAGTCCGTGACACAGGAGAAAGTGCTGACGACTTGGCTTCAGCACTCACTGCGGCACTGCTTGCAAACAGACCTCTTGATGTCTTTAGAATTGATGAGAACTTATCCTTGGCTGCCTTCAAAGGACTGCCTTTGTAGCTCCTTGAAGGTGATTTCGGAGGCGTTGTAGACGCATCAGGATCGTTTGAGGCTATTGATGGAGTAGGATTAGACACCGAGATGGGTTTCATCTGACCTGGAGAGTCGCCCGACTTCTTGGGCGATCTGAGGACCGATGTAGAGACGGATTTGACGTGACCGAGAGTGCTCGTTGTTCGCTCGGGAATGACAGGCTCACGAACAGGGGACATATGTCGTGTTTGGTCTCTACGCTTGGGAATGTTGAACTGGGATCCACCAATGCTGTCTTTCCCATGAATTTCCTCCATGACATCCGTAGTATGGCTTTTCGGCAGTTGTGGCCGAGGACTGAAAATCGATGGTTCAGCAACAGCCGCAGGTGGGGGTCCAATCCAGCTGTCCTCTTCATCATCAGGGAACGCTCCAGGTGGAGGTTTCGAGTTCCGAACGGGGGACTTTCCTCTCTGAGTTTCTGGCATCGCAGGGGCTTGGCTGAATTGGGCAGCTGGTGGTTGGACTGTGGTATTGGGGATAGACTTTGAGGATCGCATGTTAGACTGAGATTGGCCAAGCATGCTTATCTGATCCTGGAGACGCTGAGTAGAGGTTTTGTTGTGGAGACGCTTCATCTTGGAATCAGTATCATCCTCAGTTCCTTCTTCATCATCCGCTCGATCAAGGTCCATTTCATCATGATCATGTTCATCTTGCCTCACATTACCCAAGCTCTTTCCGCCTGTCTGTCGGCCATAATAGCTGGTCCTAGGTTGTTCCAGTTGACTCGTACGAGATACTCGGTTACCAATACTCTTCTTCGTAGTTATAGGCTCACGAGCAGGGAGAGAAGCAAAGTTCAGACTGCTTTTTCGGACAATTGGTCTGATTGGGCTTGGAGACCCATCTGATGGGGATTGCACATCCTGTATATGTTCGTCCTCCGCTTCGGATGCAGGATCCTCGACCAGAGCATCCACTTGCTTTGCTGGTGAAGACTTGGATGGTGATGCCTTTTTAGGTGAAGACTTTACTGGCGAGGTTCTCACTGGCGACTGCTTGGCTGGAGATGGTCGTCGGGGAGATGATCGCTTCGCTGGAGATTCTGGATGTTCGTGTCGCTCTTGGACTGGAGACTCGAGAACCGGATATGAGACTGGTTCTGGTGCTATGTTCTCTCCGTCCACTTCCATTTCCTCCGCCTTTTCTTGACGGACAGTCGCGACATTTCGAGTTTGTTCTTCTTTCGCAGACTGAAAGGATTCCTCTGTTGTGCGTCGTGCATCGGAATCGCGGCCTAGAATGACTACATTTTCATCACCGTCCGGCGAGGCCAGCGTGAAAGCCCGTTCGGGTGAGGCACTCGGTGTCTGTTGATATACTGCTGGATCGTTTAGTTGTGTAGCTTGAGTAGCCTGTGTCGCTATTTCTGGCTGACTCCCATGATATCCAGAATCAACAAAGTTTTGTGGAAGCTTGAGTGGTGATTTATGTTGTACTTCTGGCGAACTTGGCCCCGCCTCTACTTCTATCTGATCTCGTTCATCTTCAGCTACTGTGAAAGTCGCGACTGGTTTCGGGAAGTGTGACTGTTTGAATGGGCTGGCGGTTCCTTGGTTTATCGCGGAGAAGATGTCTGTCAATGGCTGCGACTAATTAGTTGATACCAGTCAAACCAAGTTTGCCAACTTACAGCGCGAGCTTCTAACGGATTCCCTTTTCGTGCGGTTCTTGGTGTCTTTCCTCGTAGCTTGCCAGGTGTCTTGAAGATATCTGCCACATTTCTGTGCGCCTATCGTTAGCAGATACATGAGATGAAAGCTTGTTTACATACACTTGATTCTTGCTGAATATCTCAGCCATATGTTCATTGAGCCAGTCCAAATCGTTTCGCGCAGAGAATGTAAACTCTTCGGTCTCTTCTCCTGCGAACTGCAATGCAGTAGCTCTTTCTTCTGCTATCCATGATGCTGATCCGACCTGTAGTCGCGGGTTTGCTCGAGCTGTCGCCATTATGTCGAATCAAAACAATGCGCGTCGAGCTATGAAAAACAACGAAAATCGACAATCGTGGACAAAGTTCCTAATCATAAAAGCATTTCGAGTAGTTGCAAAGCTATCCGAGTAGTTGCGAGGTCGTCGACGAGCTGTGGTTGTATGGTGGTGCTTGTATAGATTCGAGGTTGAGCTCTCGGGTCAATGTTTTGGTTCAATCGCGCGCCCACGGTTGACCCACAAATCCACGTGCCTGCGAGCTAGGGTGAATAGGTACGGATATGCTCGGGAACAACCATCTTCCCCACATCTTAAGGCACTCCAACACTCAAGGTGAGTTTGAATGAGATGTAGTCCTCACTGCCCTCTTATAATTTCGTTTGTATCAGCTTCTCGTCTGTTAATCTCATTAAGACCTTTCTCTCAAGATGCAGCGAATGTTCATTTCAAGATGTCTAGGGCTTGCCAAGCTTCACCATCCCCGCATCTCTGCTCCAAGATACTTCTCTGTGTCTATCCCAAGACGTGCAAATACTTTGATGGAAACGAGTGGCTTCTCAGATACACAGCTTCAAGTTAGAGAAGCAATAGCCAAAATATGCTCCAACTTTCCAGATGTAGGTCTTGGGAGTGAAGTGCTGTACATACTTTTGAGTGCTGACTCTACGATGTTTCCTTTATTTTGTCTCCTCGTTGTGAAATTGTTACCATATCTAGATATTTACTGAAAATAAGTCATAGGAATACTGGGCAGCGCATGACGAATCAGGAGAGTACCCGCATGAGCTGCATGCTGCACTGGCCAAAGATGGTTGGATTGGCATTGCGCTACCAGAAGAGCTTGGAGGATCAGGATTAGGTTTTTCAGAAGCTACTATGATGTTGCACACGATCTCGGAGAGCGGTGCTGGAATGGCAGGTGCTCAGTCGATACACGCAAGTAAGCTTGCATAAAGTGCTTCCGACCTATTCTGACATTGGTCTAGATGTCTACGCCACTCAACCTGTTGCCAAGTTCGCAACACCCGAGCAACGGCAACAAATGCTACCCAAACTCATCAATGGAACCTGGCGAGCCTGTTTTGGTGTGACAGAACCAAATACCGGTCTCGAGACTCTCAAACTTAGGACACAAGCTGTTCGAGATGGCGACAACTACAAGATCTCAGGTCAGAAAATATGGATCTCATCAGCACAAGTGGCCACAAAGATGGTCCTTCTCGCTCGCACCACTCGACTCGAGGAAGTCACAAAACCATCTGAGGGTCTTTCACTGTTTTTCATTGACTTCGACCCAAAGCAGCCCGGCCTGGAGCTCAAACGAATTAAGAAAATGGGAGGGAGAGCTGTCGATGCCAATGAGGTTTTCTTTGACAACTACACGATCCCCAAAGATACTCTGATTGGTAAAGAGGGACAAGGATTCAAGATTGTCCTTCATGGTATGAATGCCGAGCGATGTCTCCTTGCGGGTGAAGCCCTAGGCCTAGGATATGCTGCTCTTTATCGAGCTTCAAATTATGCCAAGGAGCGAGTCGTCTTCGGCCGTCCGATAGGAATGAATCAAGGAATACAACATCCTCTAGCCGACGCATATATGCATCTCGAGGCAGCGAAATTGGCAACATATCACGCTGCGAGGTTGTACGATCGTTCTACCACAGATGAGAGTGTTACACAGGCGGCAGTTGGAGTTGCCTGCAATAGTGCGAAGTATCTTGCCGCCGAAGCAGCGTTCACTGCTTGTGAAAGAAGTGTGCTGAGCTTAGGAGGCATGGGGTACGCACAAGAATATCATGTAGAAAGATATCTCAGAGAGTGTTTCGTACCCAGGATAGCTCCAGTATCAAGGGAGATGATAATGAACTACGTCGGGGAGAAAGTCCTCGGCTTGCCTAGAAGCTATTGAAGCATGACGGACAAGCATCAAGTAGGGGGGAAATGTCTGCTGCGAATTTAGGCATTCATAGGGAAATGAGACATCAGAACTCTTTCAGACATTGAAACGCTGCATAAAGTCCGGCTTAAAGATGATACACTGATCCATGAGTTCCCGCCGACTCCAATACTCCCACAATGCCTATAATAACCTCACCTACTTCTTCAATGCTGCAAACCTCTTCGCTAACTCATCCACGTCTGGTATCGTCCCGCCAACAGGTCCCTTGCTCTGAGTTCCCTTCCCCGTGCCCACATCCTGCATCTTTTTCGTGGGCTTCAGATCCAACGTCCCTTTCACTCTTGGGTGTAGATTGTCTGTGCTAGGACTCGGTGGATTGACTCTTAACGGCGAACTTGGTCCAAAGTTCCTCGGCGGCGTCGCTTTACTCAGCGCCTCTCTTTCCTCGACCTCTTTATCCTTTACCGACCCATCCGCTAATAGTGGTTCCTCAAGATTCTTCTGTGCTTGTCCACCACTTGGATTCTCATCATCATCGTCTACGAAATCTGGTGGATCTCCAAGATCATCCTTGGATTTCTTCGGCCAGTCAACACCATATGTCCGCGCGATCTCTTCTAGATATCCGTTCACGAGCTCCTGGGCAGGTGGTGTGACTGTCAGTTTCTTCAGCACCTTTTCGCTAACTTTCTCGTCGGTATTCTCCATCGCTGCCAGCGCAAACTCCTTTCCATATTTATCGCACAGCAAAGCTCGTACGGTCTGTAACTCCTTGACATCCGTTCGTGGCGCTGCATATATCAGACTCTTGACAGCCTCTTCCAAGCCCGCGTCGCAAGTAGCTCCTTCCATCAGTCCCGTCCGTGCTAGTAATAGCTCGCAATACAACTCGAGGATTTCGTGTAGTTCCGTAGTGATGTCCGACCGAATGATATTCTCGACACGGATCTTCGCAGACTCCACTTTCCCAGCTTCGAGAAGTTGTGCCATAGCCCGACGTTGTTGCTTGGATACAGCTTCATCTTTCTGTTGTACCATGCGCAGCCGCGCAATCGAGAGCTTGAGCTGGACTTTGAGCTTCGCCTGCCATGATTTAGCTGTTGATATCATAGAACCCATTCTGCCGTGAACTTACTATGAGAGATGATGACGGTGCCATTGTTGATATCTGTTGAGAAGTTTGTCCGACCGAGAATGTCGTGTTCTGTTACAATTACTCGGTGCCTTGGTCTTGAAATTCGATGGCGGGGTCGGAATCTGATAGCTACGGTTGTCGAGTGAAGCTAGATGTGCAAGTCAATATTATCTTCGAGAAAAATGTTATCTCAGATTCACAACCTGTGTAAAGCTTCCACGACGCTCTTTATTCACCTCAGACCTTTCTCCGATGACTCTAATATTTTGAAATATCTTGGTACATGCGAATTGGCAGTCTCGTTTCATACAATCTATCACAATTGCCTCTGAGAAACGATGACGACGATTGTCCTCCCTACTCTTCTCCGGCGGTTTAGGCATATAGACAAGCTTTCGATTATACATAAACCCTATTCATAATGGGTATTCGACAGACTCTCAGTCCCAAAAAGCTTGGGTACTGGATTGAGAAACGTGTTGATGCAATATGGGCCAATCTTCTTACGAACCACCTCTGGCAGAGGATGCTAAAGAATACTATCGCAACCACTTTAACAGTTATACTCGCCCTTATACCTGCAGTCGTGACTGTTTATGGCAAAGCAGCCTACCTTGGGCCTATCACAACGGTCTTTGGACATCCAGGAAGAAGATTTGGAATGATGGCGGAAGCTTTGGTACTTGCAATTGGTGGCACAATGCTAGGCATAGGCTGGTCTTGCTTTGGAGTATACCTGTCTAGTCTAGTCTACCATCAGAATGCTCCTGCGGCATATACAATCCGTGGATTATTCCTGGTGGTGGCTTTGATCTTTCACGGGTTCCTAAGATCGCATACACCTCGGCTATTCATCTTTGTGTTACTATTGGTCATTGTCTCCGTGGTTAGTCTGACCAGCACTGCAACTGCGGTCTCCAAGACTACAGTCACGACGCTCCTATATCCCATCTTGACTGCTTCAGGCATATTGTTGCTGGTCAATACTCTCATTTTCCCAGAGTTTTCGAGCAGTTTTCTTGGTATCACTACTATTGAAACTCTGGGCGAGACAGTCGGGACTTTAAGAGATGCTGGCAAGTACTTTGTCAGTATTGCTGAGGACAGCGACGACGAGAATAAGGGGACTGAAAACCAAGGCGCAGATTTGGAGCACCAAACTACTTCAGCTGAAAAGCCGCCTGAAAAGACTGGCAAAGACGCCGAGCCTACAAAACTCCGAAAGCTTTTCAGGAAACTCATGGGAGGGAAGAAAGATAAGGAAACTGGAAATGAGGGCCTGTTCCAACCTCCAGTCCCAAAAGCTGTCAAGTTGAAGTCATTGACGGATTCCAAAGCGAAACTACGAGCAAAGTTGGCCAGCTGCAAAGCGGCTCAGACCGAATGCAATTTTGAAGTCGCATGGGCTGTACTTCCTCCGAGAGATCTGAAACCTATCAGTGACACGCACATGAAGAAACTAGTTGCAAACACAATCGCCTTAATTGGTGCTTGTGAAAGTAAGTATGCTTTGATGGGAGATGTTGATGACAAGAAAAATGAGGAGAGCAAAGATGAGCATCAACTCAAGGGTGTGGCTGAAGCTGCCGACCTTGAGAGCGCAGACGAATCTTCTCGTCCTGGAACTGGGGCGAATAGTTCGTATGATGGGTCTGGAGATGAGAAAACGGACGCTAAGAAGAATCGAAAGGAGCAGAAGAAAAGAACTCAGGGCTTGACGAGGCTCGAAAGAGAGTTGAAGGACCTCGAACTTATCAAACCTAAGAAAGAAATCCAGTCCGGCGACATCGAGCTTTTGAGATTTCTTGTTCGTCAAATCACTATGCCGCTCACAAATCTCCAAGAGAAGATCGACAGAAGTGTGGATGTGGTAACATCAAGCCTGGCCTACTGCTACGATGTTCCCAAACTCCCTTCTGGTGCCCGTGCACCGAAAGGAATTGAGCTGGAAGAGATTGACATCAGAGTCGATATCTTGACAGAAGCCTTAGCAGATTTCGACAGAGACTCGGCGTTATCTTTGGAGAAAGCTGCAGCCATGAACGACCTTGACCATCCTTTAATTGATGTCATGCCGCGCATGGAGACGTTTCTCATCTCCTCGTTCTTATTGAATCTCCGCCAAGCAGCTCTGCACACTTTAGAAATGCTCAATCACTCTCGCTTCATGGTTGAAAAGCGCCAAGCAAGGCATGGTCGACCAAGACTCTACGCCCCAAGAATAAATTGGCGGAAATGGCTTCTATCGGGAGGTGAAGAAGACGGATTCACGTTGCCGGAAAGTGGGAAACAAGATGCGCGAAGAGGCAAAAGGGTGGAGTCTCAAGATGATGATGATTCCGTTACTAGCGAGGAGACACTTTTATCCAAAAAGAAGAAAGATGAAGAATCGGGTCAAAGCCAGTCTCGATCTCCTCAGCCAGCAATCAAGGCCAATCAAGCAGCAGCTGCAAAGAAGAAACCTAGGAAGGGTACGCGCATGATCAGGTTTCGCAATAGTCTTGCAGACATCATTGAATACATCGTTGGCAGTGAAGACGTGCTGTATGCTATCAAGCTTACAGTGGCTGTCTTTCTGGTCACTTGGCCCGCATTCCTGCATCAGTGGAATACCTGGTACTCGCTGAATAGAGGTTTGTGGGCAGCCTTACAACTGGTGTTGATTACAGAAGTAGCCATTGGTACTTCAGTCATGACCTTTACACTACGAGCGATTGGAACCACGATTGGCTGCACTTGGGGTTACGCTGCGTTCGAGGCACGCGATGGGAACAAGATCGTCTGCGTAGTCATGCTCGTCATAGGCATTATTCCATCAACATACATCCAGCTTGGCAGCAAATACATCAAGGCAGGTATGGTCTCAATCATTTCTATGTGTATCGTTGCTCTGGCGACAGAGGATCACACGGTACCTGGTACCGGAACAGAGAACTCCTTGAAGCGACTTATTGCCTTTCTTATTGGTGGGATCGTTGCCTTGATCGTTGAAGTTGTCCTGTTCCCTGTCAAAGCACGAGATCGCTTGGTAGAGTCACTCGCTGCATCTATGCGTCAGATCAGCGAGATGGAAGCGTGCCTCGCCTATGGCATTGAGACCGAAGTGAATGTCGATGTTCATTCAGCCGAAGTCTCAGCCAGATTCGAACGAGCTAAAGGCAAAGCACAGGGCGCTCTGACCGCAGCAGAAACTTTTCTACCATTTTGTGCCAATGAGCCGCGACTCAAAGGATCGTTCAAAGGACTTGCTTTGGTTTACGCTGAGATCCTCTATGTGCTTCATGCTGTGGTCGATCGTATGGACAACATGCTTCATCTTCGTCATGAATATGGCTCAGGCGTTCTTGAAGAGCTCAACGAAAAAGTGTACCCGTACCGGCGTAATGTGGCCGGAGCCATTACACTAGTTCTCTTCGCATGCCATGAGGCACTGACTACCAAACTGCCTCTGCCTCAATTCTTACCATCAGCACGACTCGCGCATCTCCGTATGGTCAATCGTGTGCGAGAAGTGGTTCTTGCTGGCGATGTGCATAAAATGCACACCAATGAACGATCTGAGATCGAAGTCAGTATGGTAAAACGGGTCGTACGCCAAAAGTTCTTGAGCTGGAATGCAGCATCTGCGGGACAAATTGAGGTCATCGAATACTTGGAAGAATTGGTTGACCTCGTCAAATTATTGGTTGGTGCCAACGAATTCCGAAGTGGAATCTTGACTCGGCCAACATACAGAGAGTATGTTGACCGTATTGATCGTAATACGATGGAGCAGGAGAAGCGTGAACAAGGTCAAGGAAGGTCTCGCAGTGATGCAGCGCTTAGTCAGAAAGATGGCGAAGAAGATGAACTGCGCGACATCGTCACTGAAGCCGAGGCGAAGAAGAGACCGACTAGAAGAAGGACGACATTTTCGAGGAATCAAGAGGGGATGGACACGTTGAACAAGATACCCAGTGAGACGCAGAAGTTCGAGAAGCAAAAACAAGCGAATGAGGAAGAGCTACCGAGATCTTTGCAGAGAGTCAGAAGCAGAAGGATTGAGGAAATGGAAATGCAGCAGAGTTGGAGCCGAGAAGACCATGCTAAGAAGAAAGAGGGGAAGCAGGTCGACAGTAATTGATTCAAGGAGACGATGTTGCTATAATCTCTAATCAGATGAAGACTCATCTCCATCGAAATGAAACCATTATCCAACCTTTATCGTGCTTTTAAACATGTCCTGCGGTGCTGTACTTGTCTTTCTTCAACATGCTCGCTTCTCGCTAAGCGAAGACACTAGTCCCAATCAAGCTCTATCAAAACAAAAGCCAAAAAAGATTACGACTGCAAAAAATACACAGAACCAGTAGGCGAGAATAGCAAAAATTGTTTCAGGAGACAAAAGAGTTAGACCCGGTGTCGATTGTCTTAGTCTCTTTGTCGATTCGAATGGGGGATTGCCCTCGGTATGGCGTGTGTAGGCGTTGTTAACTACTCGGGCCAGGCGTATATTTTCCTCTGTATCCCATACTGGAACCATACAATTTGACCTGAACCATCTCAGACCAGACAGCCGCCCTTGCGTTCCGTGGGGTCCAAAATGCTTATTTGGATCTATAGGGGAGTTTGCCGAATTGTGCTAAAATTGAAAATTTTGAGAAGTGCGCTAGTGGGTGCATGATTTTTCGGTTCTTGCTATGATTCTTAAGGCTACAACTGTAATTGCTGTGTTTTGATGTTCGATTGGCTTCTCATATTACCTTAGCATCTTGTCACTTTGTAGTAGAGCTATTTCGTCGCTTCTTCCTGCTGCTGATATCGCTCAATCCACCACGCAGGCTTCACAATAATGATTATTGGATTTGGTCTCTTGACGCTTCTGAACGCGAGCTCGAGCACAGGTGCATGGATGGTATACCAAAGCATGATTGCAGCAGGATCAAGCACCATCCTCAGCAGTATCCTTCCCGCTATCCAGACTTCGCTCTCTGATGAAGATCCTGCTGCTTCAACTGCTCTTTTTGCATTCATTCGCAGTTTTGGCGCTATTTGGGGTATCGCAATTCCTGTAGCTGTCTTCAATAATCAGTTCCATAGGCTGCTGTATCTGATTCAAGGCCCAGCTGAAGGTCCACCCTGGCGAATGGATAAGCATATGATTATGCTTCGAGCCTATTTATTGACGCATTTCGGGAACTTGAGAAGCTAGAATATTAGTGTCTACACGGATGCTCTGGAAATGGCGTGGCAGATTGCTATTGCCGTGGCTGGACTTAGATTTGTCGTCGTGTATATTCAGAAAGAATTGAAGATGAGAACAGAGTTGAATACTGAGTATGGGCTGAAAGAGAAGAATGAAGACGTAGCGGAATTTTCACCTGCTGTTGTTGTCCAGCTTTATGGCTGTTCCTGCATACTTCAATTTTGATTTCCCTTGTAAGCAAACATGGTTTTCGATTTAATCTAGACTGTATTGCTCAGTCTGAACTTAATTTGATCATACACAATATGTTCATACGATATCCGGACGAACTTATTTTCACGAATCCTCGCAATTGGTGAGCTTTCAGCACCCACCAGAGATCCTCCTCAATACCTCATTCATGCGCTGAATCTGATTGCTATCGAGCCTTTCGAGAAATGTCTCAGTCGATGACTCCCTTTCGGATGTCTTTCGTTGCTCCACTATTGACGACTCACGTCTTTTGTCCCCCCTCCTCCGCCGTCTTTGCCATCCCTTTTCTAGATCCACTACCATCGTTGGCTCTAAGATGATCACTTCCTCTAGATCCAGCAGTTCCATAAGTCTAGTCTGATGCCCCTTTTCCCCCGCTTCTTCTGACAAACTATACTTGTTCTGAGGCATGCCTCTAATTTTGCCCTTGACCTTTTCTTCCATTACACCTTCATTCTCGCTTTCTAGTCTGTCATCGAAGACAATATTGTCAAGGATCAAGTATTCCTTAGCTGCGATCTCTTCGCGGGATAGCACCCCAGACCCTTGCGTGAGATCATCGAGCTGCACTCGATAGCTGGCTAATATTTCCTGGTCAGATATACCCTTAGTCGGAACAGGAGCCGGCTGTAGCGATGCGCATTCTGTGACCTCTGTCTCGACGCTTTGTGGAAAGCTGGCTAATAATTCTTGAACTAATCGAGTAACTTCTGTCGGAATAGGAGCAGGTTCTAGTGATGTGCATTCTGTGATCGCTGTCTCAACGCTTTCAACTGCTTCGAGTCCTCGTTTCTTCCTCCGTCTCGCTCTTCGCTTCTCAAGCTGTTTAATTCTTGCCTTCTCACTCTTATCACACGGCTTTTCGAGCTCTTGGATTTCCTCCTTCACTGATTCTGGCTCTGGCTCTGGCTCTGGCTCTGGCTCTGGCTCCATGTTTGCCTCCTTCCGATCGATACCCTCATCCTCAATCTCCCCCTCAATCCCTTTACAAATGATAGTAGTCCCCATTACTCCTCCCTGACTTTTCCACCTGCGCTCACAGACAACTCGAGTCTTTAGCCGTTTGATATGCCGCAGTCGATACTGCCGTACCTTGGGCGAGATGCCATCTAATGAGTATATGTGGGCTTCGAGACCGGGGTTGTATAAGACGGAGTATATATAAGCGTGATTATCCTTTCGTACGAAGTCCCCGATTAGGTCTTCAGGTGGTATGTGTGTTTCGATCCCAGATATCGATGACATGGTCGCAGTTCTGCTTTCTTGGGAATTTGAGGCTTAAGGTGGTAACTCTGCAGTATCATGAAGATTGTGTGGGAGGGTCGTTGTGCATGCTACTATGATTCTTGTTTCAAGGACAAAATTAATGGAGGAAGAGCCGAGTGAGGCATAGATAATTGAAGCGATGCACGTGAGACTCAGCTGGATCTTGCTGACCCCACTGCCTATTGGCCATTGGCTATCGGACTCTCGAGGCTAATTCATTTCGTGATGGGCGCTCGCCAATTATCTGAATTTGGCTTTCTCCCTTCACAACAACCACAAAATCTATTGAAAAGCTTCAAAAGATGGAACAAGAATAGAGTACACCTCAATAAACCTCTATACTAATTTTTAATGATATAAAATGCAAAAAAATTGTAGTAATACAAGTTATTGTTGCTAGAAAGTTATCGCTTAATACCCATCACGAAATGAATTAGCCTCATCTACGCTACGTAATGTCCTCCAAGGCTAGCCGTCTATAACCGCTTGAGGGCCAATTCTGAGATCCAATCGCTTGTCTTCCAATCAATGGACATGCATAGAACAATGATAAAAGTGCCAGTAGCTGGAAGCTGTATAAGAAAGATGACTATTCTTGAGATTCAGAGCTATCGCAAGCTACATACAAGACTCCACTCAGACCACAGCCGAGTGCCAAATAATGCCTTCTTGCGCTGATAATCCAAGACCTGGGACAGTGAATTGTCCAAATTGAATTGAGTCCGGATTTGGTCCTCCTGAGCCTGAAGGACATTGTAGGCAATCAAAGAGCACATCCACTGTGGCCCGATAAAACAGCAACTGGTCCCTTTCCCCCACCTGTTAAATCCCAAACATGTTTCTCTTTCCTATCTCACCTGAAGTCCTATGAAATACAGCGATTCCTGTGCGAGCAGCAAACTGCTCCAGGAATTGACGAGCGCTGATCGGCACGGCGTTGCTGTTGCTACCCTCCCAATAGTTCCAGCAAGTCAATTCCGATCCTCAACTCAAAACACGATCATTCAACATGTTTCCAACTCGACTGACTCTCCCAACAAACAATGCACATTCAGGCACTCCGACATTGAAGTTCGTCCTACATTTTCATAGAGCAGCACTTCATTAGGTAACTCCAAACGACGTTGATCTCTGGAAGACACAACGGCGAGTGGCCCGATAAGCACGCCGTCTACTCCCATGCAAGCACTGCCACCAGATTCGTCCTTTCCTGAGCTGCCCCGTCTCTTTCTTTGCGCGGTCGTCCTCTCGGGCGTCGTCTACAGCTTTCAAAATGAGCTTCGAATGTGTCTTTACGTATCTCGACCTCGTCACATAAACACGTATACGGAAGGTTTCCGGTACGTGAGCATTTCCTGAAATGATTCCGAAATTTGTCTTTTCTCGTGAACACCTTTCCGCAGCGACAACGGAAAGAGGAGCCTTTCGAAGACCTGTGTGCCTTGGATGACTCTATATGTCGTAACAGAGTCCTCCGGTCTTTCGACTTGCGACAGTCCTTGCGACCACAGGAGTTTGGCATGTCTGGGTGAAAGTCTTCTAGGTGAAACCTTGACAGTAAGATTAGTGCACTGACATTGACTTCGACATTTGGTGAGGCTTACAAAAGTTGTTCGGAATCATTACACAATTCTTGGCAAAGTCCGCATGACTTCACACTTGATCGGAACAGAGTTGATCCTTGCCCAGTAGCCATCAAATCTGGATCAAGCTGTGGAGAGTCATACGACAAGCCAGAATTGGATTCGGTGGTGGATGACGGGGTAGTAGACGAAGCTTCGGGTGTGTACTGTAGAGTATCCCTGGAAGGTGAGAGACCAGGATCGGAATTCGCAGAAGAAAGACATGGGACAGCATCAGGAGATAACAAATCTGGAGGTGAACCAAAGACCTCAAAATCAGGGCTAACATCGCGGTCAGGGATACATGGCGTCTGCACGCTCAAGACATCACCCTCCTTTGACGTCCTATCCTGACCATAGTAGAGGGCAGAGTTATCGTAGCAACCTTGTTGAATCTGCCATTGAAAGTCTTCGAAGAAGCCAGACTCGTCTTGTTCTAAGTAATGATCATCGTGGTCCCCTCGAATGCTGGATTCGCCGAGACGTTGCTCGGCGACAGCACTTCTGTATTTTGTGTATTATACGTCGTTCGTAGAGTGGCCTCTACGTCTTAGAGAGTCTGTACACGAAAGAGGTCAGTCGTGGCAGACGTAGAAAGTACAGAGGGCAGGCAAGGCTGAGATAGACGAGTTTGGAATTCAATACTCGAGATAATGAGACATACCAATTGAAGCACAGCGACCGGTGCTCAGGGTATTTCGAGATACCCGTTCGCCACAGGGTCTCGTGCCCCGTAAACGAAGTCGAACGAGTTCGTGTTGCGAACACAGAAGGCAAAGGGGAAGGTTCGCGATGGAGATAAGCAGAGGCTGGCTTATATAAGCCTGCATGAGGCAGATCAGATTAGGCGAGAGGGGCCACTTTTCTCATTGGCCACATTCACAACGACGCCTTGAAATGCAAGACACTTTGCCAATTGGTTCTCAGAATTGGCCCTTTCCCCTACATCAAGACAATGCAAGACTCCCGCATACTGCATGCAAACTTGAATTCTCCAATAGAAGAAGTGGCCCCTTTCTCGTCCACATGAAGGTCATTCATCAAAGGGTGCCAACAACCTTCAAGCGAAGTATGAGCTAAGAAATCCTGACTAAGGGCCATTATTTGAGTGGTAGTCTTCAACTCAGCAAACGTTTCAACGCGGGCTATTGTCCAATACCAGAATTGGCCCTTTCTCGTCCACAATGGATGATGGTTTGTGCCATGCTTCAAGCGAATGCATGCAGAAAGCCGGGCTGAGGACAGTTTCCTTGAGTGGTAATCTTCAAATTCCAATATGTTTCACGTGGGCTATGGACGGAAGCCGTTCACACTTCATCCAATGTCAAAATTAGCCCTCTCTTATACATAGCAGTTAAGTGACCACACCATGATTCGAGTGAGGTACAAGCTACTTAGCTCAGGCTGAGGGCCATTTTTCTCAATGGCTTTCTTCGAAGATCTTTCTGAGTTGGCATTTGACCTGATCCTGAGCATCCAGTACGGAAAATGGCCCTGATCAAGGATTTTGCGCCTCGAATTTATTGTGCTTTAATGATGATATGAAGGAGCCTTGTTGTCCTTGCCTTGGATATAAAGTGTTTAATCTTTTCCTCTGACCTTCAATACTTTGCAATTCCCTATTCCAAGATTCTCGCATCCACCACTCTCAATCTCAATTTCATTACGAGTGCTTCAATCCCAAATACTTGTCAAGCCAGAAGCCCAGGCAGCTTTGCCATAATGGCATACCCCGAAAGAAACGAAACTCCACTGAGAGAGGGCACGCTCTCGAAACAACTGCAGACGCTTGGTCAAGGTCAGTCAATTCTTGATCATTTGACTTGAATCTGACAAACAAGATTGCTACCAAGAAATTGTGGGCCCCAAGTATGCAATGACTCGATGGAGTTCGCAAGCAAAGCCTGATGAGCCGTGGAGTATGCTTGGTCTTGGGGATAGCAATGATGCTCGCCTAACTTTTGGACGAAAGTTGGAGAAGTTGGAAGAGAGTTGGAGCTTTGGAGGCAGTTCTGACAAAAAGACCTCGAAGCTCTAGATCGAGACTATCATGCAGATTCATGGAGACATGCAAGATCGCGAACCCACAACGGAGGATGTATAAGTTGATAGATACATACAATCTGAACATGCTTTGCAATCCATCTCCTCACCATTTATAATCCACCCCCGCCTGATGCTCCATCATATCAAAAGTAGGCTTGGCACTAAACCACCCCGCCAGCTCGGTCCCCACCGCCTGATACGTATACGCCGCATCCTTCTCATCAATCTTGACCGTCTCGCCACCCCTCCCTCCCGCGGCGGCATCAGCCAACAACTGCGCATGACAGCATTTCTCCAAACTCATGAACCAAAATACCGCCGCCTCAATACTCTTCCCACAAGTAAGCAGCCCATGATTCTGCAGCAAAGCAGCCTTCCTGCCCCCCAGCGCCGCAGCAATAGCCTGCCCCTCCTCTGCGGCCAGAACAATGCCACGGAACGAGGTATAAAGCGCGATATCGTCGTAGAACGCACACGAGTCTTGCGTAATGATATCGAGGTTCCGACCCAGGGAGCAGAACGCTCGGCCGTAGATAGAGTGAGAGTGAGCGACGCAGTTGATTTCCGGCCGAGCTGTGTGGACGGCGTGGTGAATCATGTACGCTAATACGTTCAGTAATCGGGTTGCATGATAGGTGGGGGGAATTAAGTAAAGTTTCTTACCTGCAGCGTTGAGCATCCGGCACGGGCCGCCTTCGACGACTTTGCCTTCGTGGTTGACACGGATTAGGTCAGAGGCTTTGAGGAGTGGCCATGCGACGCCGAAAGGGTTTACCCAGAAACTGTTGGGCTCGACGGGATCCTGGACGCATATCTTTTAGCATGCTATTCTCCAACTCGTTAAGAGAAAACTTTACTCGCAAAGTAATATGTCCAGCAACACCCTCGTCGAATCCGAGCTTGGCAAAGATTCTGAATGCTAGTGCCAAGCGTCCTTTTTGAAATTCTCGCTCTTTGTACGGATCTTTGTCTGTTTGGCGGAACTTTGGCATTTCCATCTTGACTTCGTGTTTCTCTGCCTGTTTCTTTGTCAATCCTGGCTCGTGCATTGCTGTTCCTGCTTCGTCGTGGCCGTTGGTAGGGACTGATGCGCCAGTTTCGACAGTATCGTTGGTAGCTGAGGGAGGTGCCATTGTGTATTTATAGCTTCTTAATCGGTTGAGAGAAAGCTTGTTGGATCTTTGTAAAGACTGAGTCTCCGAATGAGATGAAATTTCTATGAGATCCAAAGAGTCCTGTGTAAATTTGAACGACGAAGTAATTCGAGGTGGCAAGTCCAGAATGAGAAACGAATAGTGGGGTCAATAGTGGGGTTTTGCTAAGAGTAGCCGAACTGCGGGGTTGGAGTTCGTTGAATAGCCTCACTTCAACTCTTCTCTTCTACACACAAAAATATACTCAAGAAATAAAAATTTGTGCAGAAAGGAAAATATATAGAGTCAGAGGAAAGATTGAAAAGAGGATTGAGAGCTGGTTATCACGCCCTGCAGTGGATGACAAGCGGAACATTTTCCGAGGCCATGGCGGGGTGTAGTGAGCTAGACCTCTTCTGCTTATGCCGAGGTCTTTATACCGAGGACAACCACCAATATGTCATACTGTACCTCGCCGCACGCAAAAGGTCCCCAATGAAGCAAATCATGAAATAATATCGTCCGATTTTCCATTGCAGATAAGTCGGAATGTGTATTAATTGGCTCCTCGAATAAGAGCTTGACCGCCTCTCCAGACTCCAGTGATATTCATCGTACACCGAATGTCATCAGTTGGATCTCCCTTTACAAGTAAGAGATCAGCTTTCAACCCTTCAGCCAATCTCCCTCGATCATGTAAGTTGAATCTCCTGGCTGTGACAGAAGTAGCACTACTCAGTGCCTCTGCTGGAGTAAATCCGCACCTCCCAACATAAAGTGACAACTCCTGATGGAAAGATAAGCCGAACGCCGTGCCAGCAAGACCTGTTGCTGTATCGGTCCCACTGTCAAGAAGTCAGCAAACGCCGCATGCAGAATGTTGTGAAACCATAAGCTTACGCAACGATGTCCATCCCATTTTCTTTCAACAGCTTCACGGCTTGATAAGAATATTCCACTCTACACGCCGGTCGTCCCATCATCAATTTCTTACAGAAGCAACTTTTTCCCTCCTCGCCCAACAGCTTTTCGCTCAAGTGATGCTCCGCGTGCTGTTCCGAACTCTCATTTTCTTCCCCTGTGACTGAAGCTGCAACCACCAATGTAGGTATCAGAAAGCTGTTGTTCCTCTTGTAAGCAGCTACCAATTCCTGACTCGGGGGCTCGTCACAAAAACAATGAGCGAGACCATCCACGCCGGCTTCCAATGCAAGGATAGTCTCTCTCTGAGAAAGGGCGTGAGCAAGCGTCACAAGACCATGTTTATGCGCCGCAGTGACAACCGCAGCTTGTAATTCTGGACTTGGGACGGGGATTGGTTCTCCAAGCATCACGGAGCGGCTCTCTTGCATCAGTTTAATATAACTTTATTTGTCAGTAATGGTGAGATCGCAGCAGAAGAGGAGAAATTACTCAGCTCCCTTTTCAATGTTGGAAAGAACAAAGGCCTCTGCCTCGGACGGGCTCGCCAATTTTGGCCATGCTTTGATTTTCTCAGTCGCCTGTACTTCGCATTTCAGCTCTTGTTCGAATAAACATCTTCATTATAAAATTTTCTCCTTTGTATCAAATAAACAACTTACAATCTCTCTGTCCAACGTCGCTAAAAGTACAGGAGCAGGCCAACCACCCTCAATCGTTGCTGCATGACAAGAAGATCTGAAATCTGCCAGGTCCAACCTATTCTTCACCAGAGCTTTCAAGCTCTGGACGTGGCCTGGCTCATTAAACATATCAAGAACAGTCGTAACGCCGAATCCAAGCGCTTGTTTGAGCTCGGGTTCTCCGTCATGTGCGTGAACATGAGCGTCGATGAGGCCAGGAAGCACGGTATGACCCGTACCATCGATAACTGTTTCCGCCGCAGGAAGAGGAGAAGGAGTCATGAGTAGGATATTTGAGATCAAGCCATTCTTGAGAAGGATGCAACCATTTTGCGAAATGGTAGAGTTGCCGTCGAACAAGCGGACAGAGTGGATGAGCGTGCTTGCCATTGTTGCCGTCTATTGAAGAAAGTCGAGTTGATGGGCACCAGCATCGATCAGAAACGAACAAATGTCCAGCATATATGCTTTGCAAAGCTCCAGCGCTCTTGCTCGCATCGAGATCCTCTCTTTCCGGCACCTAATCGTCGGCTTAAAGCCAACGATTATTATTGAATCGCGCGCCATTGTGCCACAAGGGCGAACTCGGTTCGGAAGTCCGGAAGTCCGGAAGTCGATAGCCGAAAATAGCATGGAGAGCTTGTCGCGGGTTTTGCCTTTGATGCGAGGCGTCCGAGCGAGATCACTCTTTGATTGAGTGTAGCAAGTTGGATTTCATCATTCTTATTCATTCGTTGTTGAATGCGAGGATGTTATGATCATCATGTATTGGCTGTTGAGTGCGAGGAAGTGAGAGCATTAAAAAGATCCCGGGCAGATTCGGTCAGCGAACTAGTCACGTGCCAGTCTTCAGCTCTTTCTTCAAGGTTCTCTTGCGCAGGTCCAGTCACTTGTGCTCTTTTTCATCGCGACATATCGCTTTACTTTCCTTACGTTGCTGCAAATATTCGGTTTCTTATGACCATTGAACATGGCATTGAGTGCATATGACCCTCCCGTGTAACTAACCATATCCGGCCGGATGTGATGAGAAACAATCAAAAGTCTTGCATTTCCCATAATTGATAGATGCTCGTTGAAGTTTTTCAAATCTGGTACTTTGCTCTTGCATATTCCAAACCCTTTTTAAAGTTGTTGTATCTTGCATATAAGATTCATCACGTCGGACATAGCTAGGTGGCCCGTGCAGCAATTAATGCTACTTCGTCTTGTTCGAGCAAAGTCTTGTTGGAACTCTGATCGAAACAATTGCGAAATCTGCTACGAGGACTTTTCTGAAGAATTAATGCCGAGTTTCTCATGGTTGTCTTGACAGATGCTCGGAAATAGCTATCATAATTCCGAATGGCTTCAGCGTCCGGCCAAAATTCGCCGTACGCGCCACCAGTCACGACCCGCCGTACTCGATTTACACCAACGCTAGCTATCAGCTTCTAGGGATGTATTTAAGACGATTGACGTTGATTTATATTGCAACAACTGTTAGATTATCACTTTCTTCCTCGAGAAGACGTTTAAAGATTCTTGCATCAATCCATTGAAGACTGGCAGCCCACCTACGAAATGGTCACGATCAAAGCTATCCGAGATGCCAACAAATCCATCTCATCAAACTTCACAGTCATTTTCGTAGGCGCTACATCAGGCATTGGTCTAGGAGCAGTTGAAACACTGCTCAAAAGCACCACCGCATCGAAGATCTATATCATCGGTCGCTCGCAGTCAAGTTTCGCTCCAACTCTGGCAAAGCTTAAAAATCTCAATGCGTCCGCCGAGATCATCTTCATCGAAGCGCAAGTGTCACTACTCAAAGACGTCGAACGCGTCTGCACAATCATCAACACTCAAGAATCGACAATTGACCTGCTATGGCTGTCACAGGGCGGTCTCCCTGGAGGCCACATCTTGACACCAGAAGGGCTTTTTGAGTTCCTTGCCATTGGATACTACTCGCGCCTCTTGTTTATGTCCAGACTCGTACCTTTGCTCAACAAAGCATCAAACCCAAGAGTCGTCTCCGTACTTACGGCTTCACAAGAGGGCGCCATCAACACCGCCGACATGGGAGTTCTGGACCCAAAGAACTACAACCTATTTCCAACTATGAGACAAGGCGTGATGATGATGAGCTTGAGCATGAAAGAATTGTCGATGCAAAACCCCAAGATCAGTTTTGTACACACCAATCCTGGAATGGTTAGCACGAATGTACATCATAATTGGGCGAACAGCATGACGGGCTATTTCACGGTGTTCAGATGGTTGCTGGAATGGGTGTTGATTCCGTTGATGCATATCGTTGGTTCGACTTCCGAAGAAGCTGGCGAGATCGGGTTGTATGAATTGACGACCGAGAGATACGGTGTTGGCACTGGGAATAACTTCTTCAGACTCGATGAGAAGGCTGAGGATGCGGGCGCGAATTCTTTGTTGGAGAAATATGAGGAAGATGGCACGCAGAAGAAAGTTTGGGAGCACACGTTGGAAGTATTTGACAAGGTGCTGGCTCAGTAAGTGAGCTGCGTAGTGGATTATGTACATGCTATTTGATTTACTATGCTTTTAATGCAATTCGGACTCTTGCACTTCCATGTTCAACATTAGCTACACGTTCTCATTGTTTTTCTATACATGAAAGTTCATCACGTTGTCTATAGGTTGAATTAGTTGTTCAATGTCCCACATGTCTGCTCTCCACGTATTCATGCCAAAGCCTTGTCTTCAAAGTCTTGTCTTCAAAGTCTTGTTCTCAAAGTCTTGTTCTCAACGCTTCTATTCTCTATGCAAGCAACTCAAAGAAGGCAACGCTGTATAGCTCCGAGACTACTACTTCAATGACCTCGCAACACCACTCTACTTGGCGGGATCGGCAGGAGAAACCTCCGCCTCAAGAGCAGTAACAAGTTCCTCAAACGCCTTCACTACTAGAGCCTCATTCTCCTTGCCCCACGCCGTCAGCGTCGGTTCTCCAAGCTTCCCAGTAGTAGCCGCCACGACAGTCTCATCAAATCCCGCAAACGCCAACTGAGGCCTCGTCTCAACGACCTTCATCTCGATCCTCTCGAGCACATCCTTCAAATGGCTACTAACCTGACTTCCCCCATGGCCTCCATACGAGACGATAACAGCAGGCTTGTGCTGCGTTTCGTGGTACAGGTAATCGAGCGCATTCTTCAAACCGCCGGGGATGCCGCCGTGGTACTCGGGAGTCACGATGATGTAGCCGTCGTAGGGTTTGATGGCTTCGGACCACTTCTTGGAGTGTTCGTGTTCGAGTTGGGCGTGGGCGGGGACCATCTTGGGGAGCACTTTTTCGTCGAAGATGGGGAGGTTGAAGGTGCCTATGTCGATGGTTGTGAGGGTGGCTTTGTTTGCTGATGAGGATGTCGAGATGGCTTTCTTGACGAATTCGAGGACGTTGGGACCCACGCGGATGGCGCGAGTGCTCCCTAATACGAGGGCTACTTTCTTGGAAATTTCGACAGTCATTTTGATGTTGTTGCTGAGATTGAAGGTTCTGTTCGAAGTTGGAAGGAGAATATTTTTTGATATTAATCGTTTACTAGCTAGAAGGGTGACCTGTACGTCTTATACCCAGCCCCAACTCAGAGCGATGAATCCTCTTGACAATTATCATTATTCACGTGCTATAACAGCTTTGTCAAAACACGAGGAGGGTTACAAAGCGCTCGGAAATCGTTGGACTCCGTCCTTTATCACAGCAGGGCGAAACGCAGAGTGGTCCAATAAGAGTGACTTCTGATGGTTGGCCGATGTGTTAGCGCGAAACTCGTGACGAGACGCAGCGAGCAGCCAATCCAAGATGTTCGCGCGCATTCGGAGTGGAGACGCTCCGAGCGTAGTGGAGCACACTTTGTACGCAAGTCAACATTGACGGCTCGATGAAGGGTTCATAATTTATAATTCTGAAGTAGGTGCCAGAACAGTTCTCTTAAAAGCGCATTTTGTAAGGCATCAGGCTTAGTTATTAAGTGTTACCTCGATGTCTCTCGTTTAATTTTCGATTTCTCATAGCGCCTCCATAATTCAAAGCCTCTTCGCCTCACGTCTTGATGGTCCTCCGATTGATTTTCTGTCGAAGGAGAATGTAGTCACATCTTGCCTTCATATCTGTCATTGTATAGTACTTAGGCTATTGTCTTTCGCACCTCGCAAGCCAATAGAGAACCATCATTTAGATTTTTAAAAGCACCTAGCTGCTACCACCGTCTAGAGAGTGGCATAATTTATAGCCAGGCTCTTCTTTTGTCCCTTCCTATGCGAAAATATTAGCTAAAGATCCAACGATGACAAGTTATTTAAAGCGTGGCTTAGTTATCCTATTTGATATTCGACGCGTGGCATGCGACATGCGATATGCGATATTCGAGATGCGATATTAGAAAGTTCAACAACCACCGCAAGTGAAGCGGAAGTATTTTATTAGTTAAAGAGATAAAGAATATCCAGAACAAATGATGCTATGCCAGCAAGCAGTTGACTGCTCAAACATAGGGTGCGAGAAGCCAATCGCCTGGGTTTCTGAGCTGTGCAAGCAACTTCTGGTCGAGAATGTTAGAGCAGAGTGGGTCATAGAATTAACTCAGCCATTTCACGTTATACTAGTACGGACACCATCTTTCTGTTTGCCAAAACGTTACGGCGATCGGTCAAGAAATGGGATTCCCATTTCGTCTGAATTCATCTTGTAGGCAGCTCAAACGAGTGACTGCCGATGTACTTGGAATGGATAATGACAATTCGAACGTAACCATTTCATGCGGCAAAGAAGGATCACCTTTCATCGGAGGTTTTCGTGTTACGATGGTAGTGAAGATTTCTCTGACAACGACATCTTGCTTGCTAGCTTTAGCGACTCTAAAGGCTAGCTTATTGGCTAAGACATTACTGTCCTGCTCTTGTGTAACAAGCTGGGAGAGCATTCGAGGTTAATCAAGTAATCGAATCATTCACAACAGGGCTATACTTGGTTATTTTCAAAGAATATCAGCGGTAAGCTATAACACGGTTGGCTCTACCGTTTGGCGAATATTCGTGCCCTGTATTTCTAACTCGCTTACGAGGTTACTAGCCTCGCGTCCCCTATTTCAAATACCGCTTTCAGCCTAATCCCTTTCGGGCCCAGATCCCGTATATCTAAGTAAGCACTCAGTTTATTCCGTCTACCATTCAATAGATATTCATCACAGCCTAACTCACCTCATCTGCGTTACACGATAAGAGAAGAAAAAGATGTCTGAAGCTCCTCAATCCCGCCAATTAGACCAAGAAACAGGCAACACACCTGCCCCCCAGCACACGAAGATTGATTGGTCCAACCTCCCCGAAAATGTCTTCAAGTCCATGGAAGCGCGCACAGCATCCACATGCGCCGCATATCTCCTCCCAACTCTCAAGGAGATGAAAGCAGAAAATCCTCAGTTGACTCTCCTGGACGTCGGTGCAGGTTCAGGCTCAATATCCGCCGAATTCGCACAGCTCGTCGGACCGAACGGCCATGTCACGGCCGTGGATCTTAATCCGGGTGTCATCCCACGCGCCAAGGTCGTTGCGGAGCAATGGAGAGTGTCGAACATCTCGTTCCAGACGGCGGATGCATATAAGCTGGCGTTCGACGATGAGACGTTCGATATAGTTCATTGCCATCAGGTTCTTTGACCATATCTACAACGGAAATCTCATGATCTGAGCTAACGAAACTAGGTTCTCGTTCATTGTAAGAATCCATGGGAGATTCTCCGTGAAATGCTGCGTGTTACGAAGCTGGGTGGCGTGGTAGCTGCACGAGAGGGAGACCTTGAGACTGAGGTGATGTGGCCACCACTTCCTGGACTGCTGAAGTTTCATCACGAGTGCGTCACTTGCCATGATTTTGATCCTTTTTCTAGCTTCTCTGCTAACACTATATGTACAGCTTCGAGGTAAAGCTTATTACAGACCGTGGCGGACATAAGAATGCTGGAAGACAGCTCCTTTCCTGGGCTCTGCGAGCTGGTGCGAAAAGAGATCAGATCACGACGAGCTTTGGCACTTGGACGTACACCGAGCCAGAAGATAGAAAGATGTGGGGTAAGAGTCTTCATGCGTCCCTCTGGAAGTTTCTCAACTGTGAATTGGTACTAAGACTTCGTGCTTTTGTCTAGCTACGAGTATGATGGAGGTGGCACTTGGCCCAATGTTACGGGAGAAGAACGTGAAGGCGGGGGTCGCCGAGGCGGAAATGGATGAGATGCGCGAGGCGTGGGCAGAGTGGATGAACCTAGATGAGGCGGTAATGGCACAGCTACATGGAGAGGTTGTCATTCGAAAGTAGTGCACATGTAAACACGGTCTGTATGGCAAGCATGGTGTGATTTAGGCAAAAAGTAAATGAGATTTGCCAAGTCTAAAAGCAAACGCCAGCCACCAGAGACCTGCACCTTCAGCTATATTGGCAATACAACATCCCTAACCTTTGCCCACCCCTATGTTCAGACCAACTGAATACTCAGCTTCTCCAATCGCAAACTCATTTTTTCTCGTCAACTTTCTTAGCGACCTCGGTGTGGTCAACTAACACACTTCCAGGACCACCATGAGAATAAGCCCGAACCATACGAGGCGCCTCTCCCGGCCTGTTCGCGTTCATAGCTCGGTAATCATCGCACAGGTAGCGTGCTATGTACGAAAAGCCCGCGATATCATTGATCGCAAGTCTCAAGTAGTGCCCGGGAGGGTGGTTGAACAAACCTGTGATGTCCTTCCAGTCCGCAAGAAAAGCTTTACCGCCCAACCATGCAGCCAGAATATGTACGTATGCAGAAGTACCGTCGAGGCCAACCGGGATCTCGCTGAGGTGGACGTCGATTTGTGATTGAGGGAAGCCCTCTTGCTGGATGTCGCGGAAGGTAGAGCAAGTTGCGCCGAAGAGGCGCTGAGAAGCAGGGCCCAGCTGCTCGAAGATCTGATACTGGATGTCGAAGTTGAGCTTGGTTACGAGCAGGCTTGCTTGCTGGACTGTAGATTGGTTAATTGATAGTTGCGCAACACATGTGGGGCTCTTACCTCGCGGTGGCTTATTTTGCTCATCTTCAATTTCCAACGCTTTGTCCGAGCTCTTCTCTGGCATTGGGTTCGGCTGATCGGTCATGTCGCAAAGTGATTCTGGGTGGATGTTCAGTTCGAAAGGCATGGTAACAACTCTGTGATTTTGTATTGTGTGTGTTTGTCGATGATGTAAAGTTAATTGCGAGTGGAGTGTTACCGAGTTTATATGGGCAAAAATTCAAGCACAAAGTCGGCTCAGGGCTAGCGCTCTAATTCCAATTGATTGAGTACGCAACATTAAAGTCTGGGATGAGCTTAGCGGTGCGAAGAGATCGTCTAGATCAAAGCTACGGACTTAGCAATGCAGTAAATTGAAAGTCTTATGATGAAGCACAATTACTAGATACAACTGGTTCAGCTTTACGTCTATCAAAACTGAGGTTTCATATCTCATAGCCTTCCCAGAAGCCCCACTCTGTTCTCACATACCCGCATATTTTTCTCTAGTCTTGTACTCGAAAAAGCAACAAATTCCAAAGCCAGCCCCAAACAAATTAAGGTAATGATCAAAAAGTCAGTCATTTTCTTATGGTAATGCGATTACTTACTTCTCCTTGAAGGGAGCAACTTCTGAAGCACAGCTGCAATGATATTCGCTCGTCCTATCAGAGACAGGAAAATGAGACACAGCATTAGAGTCAGGCCATAGAGGTAATCTGTATACAAATTTCTCGGGAAAATTTATTGGGCGTGATGTCGGCGGGCTCAATTCTCTAAGCCATCGAAAGGCAGGTTGATGTCTCGTTCTTGGGATCTGCAATATCTGCCATTCTTCGAAAACTTCATATTGTATTCGAGAATTGCCAATGACCACAGAGCAGATTTAGGTGTGAAGTGAGATGTATTAAACTAAGAAAGTGCTCACTACGTAAAGTAGCACGCAAGTTCTGTACATGCGACTAGGACTCTCAATGCAGGGTTTCAAGATGCTTACCTACATAGACATCCATGTCGAGCTTCCGACGCATCTAGAGTTGGTGGATCTTTGATTTCGGAAGTTCTACTGGTTAAGATTCTAGACTTTGCACCAATGCCAACTCGCAGATGCATAAACTTATTAAAACTGAGTAATGATTTGCCTCGCTTTCGGAAGTCAAGCCAATATATGCACTGCTTGCATTCAGAGCGTGTGGTACGCTGGTTGAGCAGGGAATAAGCTGCAAGTTACGCACCTTGCAGAACCATACATTTATAGCCGAATGTTTGCCGAGTTGACGAATTGTGAGTAAAATTGTGCCGGACTCGGCGCCTGCTTGAATAGACCACGACGGTAGATCATACGACCTAAATTCCACAGCATCAAACACAAACTCCCAAGGAAATTTCGTTCGCATGTACTTCAGATTCAATCATGTCTCTTCCCGGCAGATTTCGCTTTGCAATCATCGGCTCAGGCCCAGTCGGCAAACTTCTCATCGCATCAGTAAAGCAGCATCCACGCATCGAATACGTACAATATGAAGCCGAGACACTCTCCTTACGACCTTCATTCGGATATGGAATCGGCCCTCAGACATTCGCTACGGTGAGAATACTAAATCCTCCTATCTGGAAGAAGATTTTGGAACAGAGTTTTACTTCGCCGTATTGGATGCATTTCCTACATGCGACAGATGACAATGTAAAGTTGCCTGCTGTTGCTGTGACGGAGGAGTTGGGTGTATATGGGAGGATAGGAAGACAAGAGTTGATGGAGATGTTGGATGACTTTGCGCCTCGTGATCATGAGGTGAAGTATGGGATGAGAATGAAGGATGTTAATCGAGGTGAAAATGATAGGGTTAAGCTCAGCTTCGAGGATGGGACGGAGGACGTCGTGGATGCTGTCTGGACATGTGATGGGATGAATTCAATGGGGAGGAAGCTCATCCAAGGTGACGCTTATGAATCTGCTGAGTATTCTGGTATCATTTGCTTTCGAGCAAAGGTTGAGACTGGAAAAGTTGAAGCCGCGGTAGGGGAAGTATTAGCCTCTAAAACGCATATGTTTATTGGAGGCTCCGGATATTTCGTCTTAATCTTCCCCATTTTTGAGGCGAAGTATGTCAACATCGTGGGGTTCACGCGTGAGAATGAGTTCAAGAAGAGGGAACGAGCGTGGAAAACACAGCTGAGTGATATGTTGGCATATTTTCCTGGAGCAAATCGTACACTTCTTAAACTTCTCGAGGTAAGTGTTTTCACATTTGCGCTTGTCATGGAATGGTAGAGCTCACGTGGAAGTAGTTGATTTACAAGGAACAAGACTGTCAATGTCTAGATCTCATGGTCATGAAAAAGCTTGGACTATTCTACAACAAAGAGCTTCGTATGACCAGTTTTGGCGACGCAGCTAACGGGATGCCGCCTCACATGGGAGGATCGATGTCGACTGGCTTCATTGGAGTGACGACATTTCTGTACCAAGAGCTCAACCCTCGAATCGAATCACTGAGTCCTCAAGCAAGCAACGCAGAGATTGCAGAAATCGTGATGGAAGCATCACTTGAGTACGAAGAGAAACATAGGCCTCTAGCACAGAAACTCTGTGATTATTCAATCGAACAAGGAGACATCTTCACTGGAGGAGTGATTGATATCGATGAAATAACAAGGAGACCAAAGTCGTTATGGGAAGCTGCAACTTTGCAGCGGTGACGGCAGATTGAGGGAGTCAGAAGCCGATTAAGAGCGTAAAGGGCGACGAAACGCGATCGTGGAGAGATGACTATCATTCGGCAGGAGATTGCATTGACTCTTCATATAAATCTCAGGTTTCTTCGGTATCATCATTCGCAGAATCAGTATACTTCTCAACTTCATCAGACTCTCCAGTCTCGGCTTTTGTCGATTTCTCCTTGCCTTGCTTCTGTTCACTCTTCCCAACATGCTCAAACAGGAAAGCAGTAGCAGCAAGTTGAGCAAGATTACTGCTGAAACCTGCCCAAACACTTTTTGACCACTCTTGTGCATAGATAAGCGGAGCCGTGATAGCGCCTGCTAAGCCCAATGTCCAGCATATGTAGAATAGTGCACGAACAGGTAGATCCTCGTCCCCTCGCAAATATGGAACCATGAGGTAGTATAGTGAGCAGATAGCTATTATTGATTGTGAGAGCAGCGAGTAGTAGTTGTTATCTCCGACTTGAGGTGGAGGACTTGGCGGTGGGTCTTGGAGAGAGTAGGTAGTGGTGATTGATGTTGCGACTGCTGCGAGGACTAGTATGAACCATGCGGTGGTCTGGAGACTGAGGCAATGAATGATTGCTTTTCCCAAGAAGCTGACGAACTTGCGAGGTAGTCCAAGAATTTTCCATGTTCCATGGTTTGACTCCAGTGTTGGTTTCGGAGTTGAGCGGGAAGGAGTGCTTGATGGCAAGCTTTCAGATTTTAAGCTTTCAGCTTCTGGATCTGGTTCTGTTATTGTCGTGGATGGGGTGCACACTTCGGACACCGAAGAAGGTGTAGACGGCTTCGAATCGTCCGAGTCGACGTCTTGAGTGCTTGTAGCTTGTATTGAGGGATCAATCATGTCGTCTCTTGATATTGTTATGTCGCTAAGTGTCGGTACCTTTGGATCGAGATGCTCGTCTTTGTAGTGGCGAAGAATTAGGCGCATATCAGAGAATGATTCTGGACAGCTTGGGCACTTCAGTTCTTGAAGACGCTTCTTTCTAAACAGGTATCTTTCCTTGGTCACCTCGTCGAGACAAGTCTCGAGGGTGACAGCGGAAATCTGAATCGAGCAGCATTTCGGAGGCCATAGCTCGGCAGAGACTAAAGCTAAGCGGACAGATGTTGACAGACAGGAGATGCACCATAAGTGCTTGCAGCTCAGGGATACAATATTGCTGGTATTAAGTTGGGCTAAGCAACAAAAGCATTTCGAGCTGCGGGTTGGATGTACACGGCGACCCTCAAAAGTGTTGCTTCGTGACGGACCCCCATCACCAGCAGGAGACAGCTTTACACTATTACGGGATAGTATTTCAGAGACGTCGAGAAATCTCGAGTGCTTGGTAGAGGCATAAGCTTCAATGTGAGCACGATTTCTCGAAAGGCTTCTTCGTCGATTCCGACTGGTCGAGCGACTTCGGTTTGTCCGTCGACTTCTATAACCCTCTTCTTCTTCAGAGTCACCATAATCTGATCCCATGGAGTGGTGCATCTGTCTGATAGATTGGTTCATATCTTCAGAAGAGGTCGTCCTTTGCAATTTGGGTTTATCAGAGACACTGAATGACTCGCCTCCGAATCGCTTAGAGGAGGTTGGACTTTGTGTTGTGTTTCCTTGTCCACTTTTTGCTTGTGTCTCTCGAGATTTCTGCATGTATCGTGCTGCAAGATCTCTATGCTCCTCCCATCGATCATCGTCCGCAGCAGCACGACGCGCTGGTCGGCGGTTTTCCACGTACTTGTCGTCCCTTTTTGGAGCGAAACTGTCAGCTTTCTGTTTTCTTTTCACAGCGGACGATTTCTTCGAAACATTCTCCATCCTGGGTCCTATCTTCCGAGCGTAGGCTGGGGGTGGTTCCGACTCGGAAGAGGAAGAATATTGAGCCCGCAGTCTGCTCGTATGAAATTCCCTTTTCCTCGAAGAATAATCGGAAGTGTGTTTCCCCTGTCTGGGCTGTGCTTCCGTAACCTCATACTCGAATGGACTGCTTCCTGGTGTTGGATTTTCTCTTCCCATTAGCTTCTTTAACCCAGACAGCTTGACCTCATCGTCGTATCGCTGTCGCTTCGAGTCATCGCTGAGAATCTCGTAGGCTTGTTGAATCCTGAAGAATTCATCTCGTTTAGCAGCTTTCAAGGCCGGATCCTGGACCTTGTCTGGATGGTGTTTAAGAACGAGTTTTCGGTGTGCGGTCCTGATCTCTGGAAACTTTGAATGCGCGCTAACCCCCAGAACGAGGTACGGATTCGTCGAAAGTGATGTATTCATCGTAGGAACATGGGATTATCTAGTTTGAAGGGCAAAACGTTTGAAAACAAAGGAAGAAGGAACGAAAGAGGGAGAAGAGCAAAAAGTCAAGATAAGGCTGCGCCTCATGGTGTTTTCAACCTCATGATCAGCCAGGCTCCGCCACCGATGCAGCACAAATGAGGCTGCATGAAGCTAGGCTTAGTAAGGAGCCATACATGAGATGCAACCTCAAAGTTGATACAATCTAAGGTACTAAGGTGTAGATATGGTTCAAAATGAGACACGAACGGGATTATAAAGTTGAAATGAAGCAGGATCGAAAGAAGATTAAGTGTTAAGAGAATAGTTCAGGCGCTAGAATGAGGGACTTGAAGGAGATGGTGTGGTGTGATAGCGATCAAAAAGATAGGCTTTAATCACTGCAATTATAGCGCTTTTCAGGGAGAAATGACATATTGCTCACTAAAATCATTTCCTCGCTTATTCCCGTCGCACCTCAACCCCTTCTCACTTCACAAAGTCATAATCACACCAGCCTTAGTCGCCCAGTATGGCGGTGAATCGACAGTATCTCAAACCCACTCTAGCTTTTGCTTGTTCCTCAGAATCTTCTTAGCCAGAACTCTCTCCGTCATTGATGAGGGACTTCAAAAGTGGGCATCCCACACGCTTAATCCCATTATCGGGAGTACATATCCGTTCGCCTTATCTCCGACTTATCTACTCCACTATTCAATGACTCCTTATCAATAACATCTAGGCTTTGAATCAATGCTTTTCGCTCAATTATTCTCTTCCTGTCCGTGATTTCAGGCAACAAGTGAATAAGTCAACATGGACAAATCTTCCATCAACACTGATACAGATGGCGCAAGTCCTACAGAAGCAATCCACGTCGAGACACCAGATCCAGAAACATCCAAAAGGCTAGTCTGGAAGCTCGACCTTATTGTCCTTCCGCTCCTTGCAATTATATACTTCACGCACTCGCTCGACCGAGCCAACCTCGGAAATGCAAAGACAGATGGCTTCGAGAAGGATATTGGGTTGAAAGACAATCAATACTCGCTTATCTTGATCCTCTTTTATATCCCTTATGGTTAGTAAATATCTTATGGGAAGAGAGGAGGAACGAGATCGCTAAATGATCGTAATAGGAACGCTCAATATTCCAGCAACTGTTCTCGCTAAGCGCTATAGCCCTGCTGTCGTGATTCCTTGTCTGATGTTTTGTTGGGGCACCATAGCAGCTTCTACTGCAGCAGTCCACAACTTTGGTGGTATTTTGGCAGCGAGGATTTGTCTTGGGGTTGTGGAAGCTGGATTTGTGAGCACTTGTCATGGCCCTCGTGAAGGAGCATTGCTGACTTGCGTGGCAGTTTCCTTCGGCTATCTTTTACCTAACCATGTTCTACACAAGGACCGAGATTGCAAAACGAATCTCACTATTCTACATGATGGGCTTCGTAGCAAATGCTTTCTCTGGACTGATAGCATATAGCGTTTTTCAATGGCACCGATCTCTCTACGTAAGTCTTTCGATCTATGACCATCGAGATAAGTAAAGTGACTTGAAATACAGAACTGGCAATATCTCTTCATCATCGAAGGGTCCTTGACCGTCACTCTAGCTATTCTAGCCTTCATCCTCCTCCCAAGAAGCATAGCAAAATCTAACTACTTCACAGAAGCAGAGAAACAATGCTCAAAGCTACGCTTACAAGCAGAGTCCGAGATTGAAGGTGATAGCTTTTCGTGGAGTGCTACGCTGACACCTCTGCTTGACTGGCATTCCTGGATGTATGGATTCATGGCTCTCTGCTATGGATGTGCTGCTGCAAGTATCAGCAACTTTCTCCCGACAATAGTGAAAAGGTACGTCATCTGCACCAAATCTTCTTCCGGCATGGCTTACAATCTTTTTAGAATCACAGTCAATACGGTGAAAGCAAACCTATACACTGTTGCGCCAAATCTCAGCGGTGGCGTATTCATCGTTCTCATTTGCTGGCTCTCGGATAAAACACAACAGAGAGCATTATGTGCTATTGGAGCTGTCGCTATCTCGATGATTGGTTTCATATGTCTTGGCACTGTAGATATTACACACAAGACTAGACTAGGATACTTCTTGTAAAGTCCCCCTCCGTATCAAACAATCTGTTGTACTGACTCAGAAAAGCACTTTCCTCCTCACCTTCGGCTCATTCACTCCAGCGGTTCTCGTCCCAGCTTGGTTATCTAGCAACAGCATTTCAACTAGCGGAAGAGCCACTACTGTTGGCCTCGTAGCTGGATTGCAGAATATTGCAGGTATCATCTCGTCTGAGTCATTTCGCTCGCAAGATGCTCCGGTAAGTTTGACCGCCCGACATTCAAGAGATTCGCTAATCTAATCAGATCTATGCACCGGCACTAATCATATCAGGCTGCTTTGAAGGTGCAATGTGCGTTACTGCCGCATTTGCATATCTCTATTACAGGACTATCAACAGAAGGTTGGACTCTGGGAAAATGCAATTCGTGCGGGGCATGGAGCAGAATCCAAACTTCAGATATGTTTTGTGAATAAAATGTCGTACTACATCAGATAGACGCATGTATATTCAAACGCTTAGTAATTTATACACAGAGAAGAGAAAATCCTCAGTCGATAGCCTTATCAAGAGTTTGCCTCTAGATATGCTACGGTTATAAAAGACCGGAAGCTGCACACATTCACAATTTATAACTTAACCAGAGGTTAAGAGAGGATATTAACTTCTAAAACACCGACTCTGCTGCCTCTGTGAATCTTTTCAACGTGAATGTCCAAAGACGAAGCGGACATTGGAATAGACTTTCAAGATATATCAACACCAACACATGATTGGCCAGCCCCCTCCTAGCGGGGCATTCCCTTATCCGACGACATCATCCCTCTCAATAACCACTGTCCACTCCATCAACAACTACAAAACCCATCCCCAACAATTTCTCTTCTCTGTACATATATCTTCAAAAATGCCCTTCGCAACCATCAACTCCAAGAAACTCTTCTACACGGACTTCGGTCCCACTTCCACATCCCCATCAACAACCCTCTTCCTGCACGGTCTCGGCTCCTCCTCCTGCTTCTACGCGACCATCATCCCAAGCCTCCAAGAAACAACCCGCTGCATCGCTATCGATTATCCCGGCTCCGGACTCTCAGAATTAGGTGATGAGGAACTCAGTCTCGATTCACTAGCACGCGATGTCATGTACTTCTTCCAGGTTCTTTTTCCCTTCTCTTTCAACCCTATCTAATTCATGGAACAGAGATCTCCTAAAAGGACTTGAAATCCAAGAAAACATCAACCTCGTAGGCCACAGCATGGGCGGTCTCCTCGCTTCCCATCTGGCCTCCACGAACCCATCCCTCTTCTCCGCCATCGCGCTCCTCGGCCCCGTAGACCCAGCTCCTACCCTCGCCTCCGTATTCGAAAAAAGAATCGAAACAATCCGCTCCTCCGGCAGTCTCGAGGTCCTCGCGGACTCCATCCCCTCCGCAGCCACCGGCTCGAAATCCAGTTCTCTCCACCACGCATTCATCAGGAGTCTAATCCTAGGCACGAGTCAAGAGGGCTATGTGGCGCTTTGTAACCTAATCGCCAGCGCTGACAGACCGGAGTATGGCGAGATTAAGATCCCGCTGTTGATGCTGGTCGGAGAGGATGATAAGACGAGCCCGTTAGCGGGGTGCGAGGCGATCTTGAGGGCGTATGGGACGGGAGGAGCAGAGGAGGGGGAGATGGGGGGCAGGGAGGATAAGAGGTTGGTTGTTTTGAAGGGGGTGGGGCATTGGCATTGTGTTGAAGATGGGGAGGGGGTGATGAGGCATTTGAAGGGGTTTTTGGAGAGTGTTTCGTGAGCTTTTTAATACCATGCAAGCACGTGGTTGCTAAGGTGGATTGCAAGCGAGAATGAACTTTTGGCTTAGCCGTAGATTGTTCCCCAGCCCATTTCATCCATGACGTCCATCCAGAATACGCCTTCTCCGTTCATGCCTAAACCATCGTCGCTCCGTCTCCATGTTTCTCTGACGAGCATTTCGGCGCGGAGAATCGGCTTGGCTGGTAGACTTAATTGATACTCTTGTAACCTCGTTGTCACAAACCTCCTTGCAGTCGCTATATCTACTTCTCTATTCGTTAAACTATTGAAGATGCTTGAAGATGCCGGCATGTAGGTTGGAAGATGATCACCTATCGGTAAAGAATTAGGCGATAGTGGAAGCGAGAACGATGAGAGGGAAGTAGAAGGATAGCGAAGCTCAGATGCAGCGACGATGAGGACAATGGGTTGAAGACAACGTGTTCCTGATGTTGGAGGTAATTTCTCGAGAAGTGAAATAGTATGGATTGCTAGTGAGACGAGGAAATCGTCGGGTGGTTGCGAAACTGGGATTGGCAACGCATCGTGAAGTTCTTGGTCAGGCATATCCGACGCAGTGAAGCCGCTGTCAGTGTATGGAACTCTTCGACTGAGGACAGAGGGGAAGACGCGATATATTTCGAGAAGAGCAGCACAGCGATAGGCTTCTGCGAGGATGAGGTATTGTTGAACTGGAGTGTTTTCATCACCTGCGTCGACGAGATTGCTTGGGAGAGGGAGTTCGACTGCTAAGAGTTCTTCTTCAAGAGATTGGGCTTTGGCTGTTGCTTCGAGAGTGGCAAGTGAGTCTTGAGGGAAATCGATATCGAATCCTAGATCCATCGCAAGGAGGTTGACAGAAGCAGCATCCTGGGCAACACTCTTCCGATACCGCCTTATAACTCGTCCAACATGCGCAAAAAGCTTCTGAACTTTTGGGGCAACACCAGTCCATGGATGAGGAAATACTTGTCCATTGTCATCACTGCTCGAAGACTCGGCTCCAGGACTTGGAGTGAAATACTCTGTGAGCTCAAACTCGCCGAAGCCAAATTCGTCGACATCATCTTCCACGAATCCAGCAAGCATGTCCCAGTACAGGATACATTGCTCGAAGAATTCGTTCTGGCGCTGTGCTCTGCTGTCGACCGGAGTTGCTTGTTGCTGTTCCAGCCTGCGTCTGTTCAATCTCTTTGCTGTCTTCAAATGCACAAGTCCAAGATCCTTTGGGTCATGCCAGGCTGTTGTTTGACCAACTAACAGCACTGTAAGGAGTGTCTTGTCGAGGTTCTCTCCAGCCCCTTTGCTCCCACCATGAGGCAGTTGGTAAAGACATCGGTATGTCTCTCGTTGCATCTGAACACCTACAGGTAGCATCCGCGGGAAATGATTGGCCAGGTATGCTGCCGCCATGCTCTGGATGGCGTAGTATATTGGCGCTGAGCCATCCCATAGTCGTCCAACTGTTGAGCGGAAGGGATTGAGTGTGCCATCAAATGAAGAGAATATCTGGCAGACGTAGCTGAAGTAATACTCGACAAGCATAGTAGGCAGGTGCAAAAGGAATTCTGGAACAGTGGATCGGTTCAACTGCTGACGTATTGCCGACAAGCTATCAGTAGGTGGATTTGAATCTCGTCTTAGATGTGTCGGCTCTGGGGGCGAATGAGCCTTAAGGTTTGCAGATGTCTCATCGAGGACTTCCTTAGACTCTGGCCTAGAATCACTTGTCTCATATACAGGGTCATTCCTGCTCCCAGAAATGGCTTCCGTCAAGTTGAAGGCCAACGTCGTTGAAGGTGCTGGAAATGGCGCCTCTTGCCCAGGTACAAGCATCTTCTCGTGCTTCGTCGACCAGACAAGTGCCTTTGACTTGTAACCAGGACAAGCAACGTTTTTACGGCTGCATTGGTTGCAACCTGGTTTGGTTTCGTCGCATTTTAACTAAATGTACGTCAAATGGGCTTGTAGGAGTAGTAGTGGGAATGTTCATACTCGTTTGGCTTTACATCTCAAGCAGCCTCCTCTTGATTTGGGGGCCCTTCTGGGATTATAGATTGCAGGCTGACTACAAGTCTCATTTTCTGTGGATCCAGGAGGCTTCTGCATACCGGCTGTACCCAAGATGTATTTTGAGCTCTAATAGCCTCAAAAGTGGGGGTCAAAGGACCAGTCGAAAGCTAGCAATGGGAAGATCAAGGCGACGTGATACGGCTATTGTGGTATGTTCTTGAGCCTCTGGAACTAGTAGCCTACTTGAGCTTAGGGGTATGCGGAGAACAGTGAAAGAGCTTGGGCTTCAGGGTCTTTGAAGAGATCGACGAAGATAAGAGAGGTGTGGCTTGAAACTAGCATCCACGTGACTCGGGTATATAATTGCCCAATCGGGAAAGAAAATGCAGACATTAGACTGGAAATATAAGACAGTGCAAGTAGCCAAACGGGTGGGAGTAACTTTGAGTTGAATTGTAAGATCAAGGCCATAACCGACCTGACGCCGTGCTGAAACGAAAGAAGAAGATGATCCCGCCCGGGCCAGAAGCTCATGAAGCATTTCTGCTCTCATTGAGCTTCTGCACCCTCTCAAAAATACTATATGCATGGTCCCAGACTATCTGCGAGACGCCTTTCGCTCGGTAATCACTCAGAAGCTTCGCATTACCCGTAATATCTCCTACAGGGCTCACAATATAGCCTCCACTACCCACCTTGCCATCAGAACCAGTTCCAATAGCCATTCCTGTTGGCAATGGTACTCCTGAGGCGACTGCTGAACCAGCCAAAGGTTTTGCTGGCGGATACATGCCGCTTGTAGCATGAAAGAGTTGTCTCTCCCCAGTCTCATCTGCGCCGGTGGCAAACAGTTTGACCACCGGCGTCAATCCCTTCATAGCGACACGAGCCCAGAATGGCAGCTCCCTTGCAAGGCCCGTATTTACAACACCTGGAGATGTTTGCATGAAGCTAACACTCGGCTCCCTCGCAGCGAACTGCTCGGCCATGAAATCGTTCATTGTAATGCTTTGGTCCGCACAAGTGGTAGTTGAGAATGTAGTTTTCAGCTCGAGATCATCCAGGTTGATGGATCCCTCGTGCCCTGCACCTAGGACACTGACTGAGCGCGCGAAGCCGGGAGGGGATGTGGTTGCTGCTCGGAGGAGAGGCAGGAGATTCGAAGTAAATCGCATTCGAGAATAAAAGTTCAACGTAAACTTTCGAGCGAGTCCTTCTGGAGATTCTGCCGATTCCTGTCAGTGTCCGTTCTGTGGGAAAGAACTGTCGCCGTACCATCTCTGCCTCGCAGATTTAGATTGCCCTGCGTCTGCAGGATCAAATTGATGCTCTTCTCCTTGGCCGCAATCTCCTTGCAGGCTCTATCGACCTCTGCAAGCTCCGATACATCCGCCTTTATGAATTCGATTTTCCCATCTTTGTTTAAACCACGGCATTCCTCGATAATTCGTTCTGCGGAAGAGGCGTTCCTTCCAACCAGGTAGACTCGTGGGGAGACTGAATGCTTCACGAACGCCTTGAGCGTGTACTCGCCGATACCACTTGTTCCGCCGACTACATCAATTAGCTTTCAATCGCAGTATGCTAGGTAGGAGACTTACCAAATAGAGCTACAAGCCCAGGGCCAAGCTCTCTTAACCTCGCATTGGACGCGTGCACGACATCTAAAGACACCATTGTTTAAAGCTTGAAATGAGTCAAGTCAATTGATAGTAGCTGAGGGAATTATGAGGAGACAAGTGATGTGACATTGCTCTTGTATATAATGTCAGTGAGCCGCGTCTCGGCGGAATCACAGGCAGCGCAAAGCACGCGTTCTTCTGCAACCAGATGACAGCCACGCCGTCATCTTGCTGTTTCATGGGTGGAAATCACCGACGCGGAATGCAAATTGGATCGCAGACCCAATCATTTGCAAAATTCGCACAGCGACGCCTCCCATCAGGTAGGAAATGTCTGTTGGACGTCTTGCGCAGTCGCTATGTAACAGCAAAATGACGGCGGAACCGGGATCGTAATTTGGTTGCACAGGCGCTATTGTACTGTAATAGAACGGCCACGGGTAAACTGCGGCTTTCATCCACCTGCGGGGTTGAACTTTAATTTCAGTGTATTAGACATACTAAACTAGCAAAACCTCAATGATAAACAACACTTGTTTCCAATTTTCCGTTCCTAAGGTGGTTCGTAGTAGGCATAACTTGGTACCCTATGGACCCCGTATTATCCTTTTCAGAAGTTTGTATAGCTAACTTCATGCTCGTAGCAAGCTCTCCCGAAAGCGCTGCCCCACCTAAGCTATCAAGACTTATGCGATCGATGCCCGAGAGGATTGCTATCATCCCGAAGCCATTAGATAGCGGTGTTGAATAGAGGCTTATACTTAGCAGTATAACAACAAGTAGCAACAGTGGCTGTGTTCCGAGAACTAAGTAAAGCCAACGAGATTTTCGCAATGTCGGGCGAGTATACACAACTTTGTCGTTTATTGGGTATATAAGCCCAACGTCCTCGAGGGTAGGGTTTGTTACGCTGTTATTTCCTGCTACCCAAAACGGCGTCGCGTTTATTTCAGCGGCCCCGCCAGCAGCCCCTTCCACAGCGATTATCCGAGACCACAGCATAGCCGCTATACCAGTTGCCATATATGAATAATTCCAAACAGATCCGTTTCGAGTGGTTGCAAAGGGACCCAAGAATTGGATTAGACTCGGCATATAGTAATAGCCAACGAAGAAATTGATATCGGTAATGATGAGTTGCTTTGCGTAAGGTAGGACATTGCCGTTGCAAGAGCCTTCGAGAAGCTAGATACCGCCACGAGTAATTGTCCACGTTCCTTCGCAGGTCTGCCTTTTGATATCGTAGAGTTGCGCGTAATAGGAATAGTTTGCACATGTCGGACCGTCCGGGACCCCTGGGTCGGGCGGGAAGCCAATATATTGAAACGATTGATCTGCTCCAGGGTGATTCATCAGGACAAGAGAATAATGATTTAGCATGACTGCATAGTTATATGCACCAGAACTGACTCCCGCTCTAGTGTCTTCGCACAACTGGATTAGAGATGAGTTGTAAAAGTCCGGATCTGTTGTCTTCGAGTGATTGAATGTAGCTACAGTACCTACAACTGGTGCAGTAAGACGCCATGATTCTCCGATTGCAAGTGAACCCTGCACAGAAGACACGTAGTCGGGCTGTGGTATGTCTAGTATCGCCGTGCTCTCGTTGTTCAGCAAGAGAATATTATAGCCGTAGGATTGCTCTTGGCTTGGAAGTGGCGGCTCAGCACCAGTATCGTCTGTTGAGGATGTTGCCACCAAGAAAGGCAGTGTTGAATTTGCAAAGAACATGATTCCTGTCCGTTCGCCAAGAAATTGCAGACCTGGAGGAGCAAACATGCCGTAATAGGAAGTATTGCCCGTGTAGGCTGTCGGATTGAATACCTTCGAGCTCTCGCCGCCTCCGAACCTCTTATATGCAACACTAAGGAATATCGGGAGAGCTAACATGGTCCCAAGAACGAGTCTCCAGACTTTCCCAAGCTTCGATGCAAGAACCTGATTTCGAAGAATACCGTCATAATTCTGAAGTGTCGAGGATCCAAATTTGGCTTCGAGAAGAAGGAACAAAGTTGGCGCAACGCTGCCCAGACACAGGTTCATAATACTAAGTAAAAAGCCCAATACGACTAATTGGTTAGTTCCTTGTCCTAGCCTCCACGAGACTTCGTTGTTTTCTACTGCAATGAAACTCAATGCAAAGCATACAAGGGAAATGGCGGCTGCCAACAAATCCTTAATGTAAAGCCGGTTTTTAACAGTCGGAACACCGGTTGCATTTGGTGGTAGCGACGGAAGTGACGGCTCGCGAATAAGTGGCGTACGGGATGAGAAATGTTTGGCATTAACTCTCTGCCTTTCGCCGATCTGCCGTGTTGTGGAAGGGGAAGATGAGCGGGAGATATCTTCGCCGCCGTGACTATCGAGAGTCGGGATTGGTTGCATCTCCGTAAACCAGGTATCTGGATCTTGAGATGAGCAGGGACTCAATGGAGTCCACTGCGAAGTGGTCATGATTCCAAAAAAATACCAATGACTTCAGCCTCGTCAATGCTGATGCAGAGAACCTTTTCGTAATCTTGCGAAGCGTTAATATCTTAAATGTTGCATCGATTCTAAGTTTAGTCTTGCAGGTTAAGTGATCGACCAGCAGCCTTACTCTGGCTCAGCTGGCAAACAGCATCCATTAGCCAACCACCCAGCCTCCAAACTTGCAAACAAGGCGCTTCTTGTAACGCCTTGCTCATCCGAACAAGAAATATGTTCGGCTTGGGCGCGGCCGTGCTATGCATTTCGCAGCTCCACATAATGATTGGAGTATCGCTGAAGCCCCCACGTGTATATTTTCGGGCTATGCGCAAGAGGATCAAGTGAGGCTGGGAGCGCGCGGGAGGAGGAGGAGTCGGCGCGGCCTAGAGTCTGTTTCATTGGCTACGGTATACCGTGAGTAGGTAGAGATGTTTCAAACATATATCTTTATCATTATATATTTGCTGCAACAGCCTTGCGGGCTAGAACAGTCCAATGGTTATAAATAACAGTTTCAGGAGGAGGCCTAGTATCTTGACCAAGTCCTATTGATCCTAGGGTAGATATCAGCCGACTTCGCTTCAGGATTGACTCGGTCTGCATCTATTTGGCAATCTTCTAGATCGACTAATTTTGTGTTGTATAAGATGATAATGCAGATTGGGTCCGAGAGTCAAAACAGATGTGCAATTTTTAGAGGAACTTGCACTTGACGATTGGAGCAACATCAGCGCAAAACGCGACTGCAGGACTATTTCACAAAGAGAGAACCCGTGAGATTTCCGGCACTACACTGAGTAGCACAGACTTTAAATTGACTGTAGTCAAAGCAGACTTTCAGCAGCCAAATGGCTTCAAATATGATCCAAGGTAGCTGTTACTCGACAGGGTTTGAGTCTTTCAAGAGCGAATGCTATCCCCAAGAGTCATCCACTTCGGCAAGAATGACTCATCTGGGAATGCTGCCACGACACTAGGTGTGAGTGCAAAGCTGGGGATTGGGACGATTTAACAAGTACCAACAAAAGTGAATACAGCAGGTTACTAGCCATTCCATTCCACAGCAATCAACTTAGTTCTACTGTGGCATACTATAGCTGAGGGCTATTCTCCCCTCAAATTGACCATGGTATCCGAAAGACTCCCTGCTATCTCTGGTTTGGCAAAGCAGCAAGGCAAGATGAGGCCAGAGGCATCAACCCATGGTCATGTCACCTTTCCGGTTTGCGGTAACCATGGCAGAAATCTTGATGAGGACAGACTATTGCAGTCTTACTTTTCCGTGTCGGAGGCACAAACAATTTTGGCCACAAAGGATCCTACCAGTGAAGTCCGAGGTAGATCAATCATCATAACTGGACCAACCTTCGGCGTCAAATTTGTGGGCAAACCAAACGTAATAAGAATGAGTAGTTTGGGCTACACAATTCAGCAAGATTTGCTCGCAGCAGAAGATGAACCAAACTTGATTTCCCCACCCAAACTGTTATACGCTATTGGGAACATCGTCAAATGCATCCGTCTGGCTCGTATCCTGCGGTCATTTCAAGAGAGTAGAGTCTTTGAAAAGAGTATGCCATGTGGTTGAGAGATTTCGAAAACTTCCTATCAGCGCATGGGAATGGGCGTCTTGAGGTGATTGTCATTGCTTAGAAGATAACTCAACGTGCAGCTCTACCGCTTCTTACTACCTGACTAGACATATACGTCTTCAAATTTCTCTTCAAGGTATTGCCATGAAAGTTCAAGCTTTGCATGATAATTTCAAAGTATAGATTCTCTGGACAGTGAAAGAGGTAGGTCTGCTCCATGTAAAAGCCTTCTACCAACTCTTTCCAAGTCAACTTTGACCTCACCCAGAAGACTCTCAACTTGAGGGACTTCCATTTTCTTTCACACTAAAACACTTCTCAAACTTCACAGACAATCACACATCGCACTAAGGAAGGATTTAGCACTCATACTCTATTCTTCATTCATCTAAAACCTCCCTCTAAGAAGCATGTACAACAGCAGGTATTCGCTCCACCCCCTCTCCTCCCATATTCCTGCACCCAACCTTCAATGGCTGCAACATTCTCGTTTCTCTTCAAAGGTCGCAGTGGTCATGTACCAGGGTGACCGTTCTTGGTCTTCCTTCATAAAGTAGGCGTAGATGCATCGGAGGATTGCTTGGTGGGTGACAATGAGGATATTCTCGCTTCGTTCAAGTTCCATGATAATGGGCTTTAGTCGAATAATAACATCACGGTAGCTAGGAAAGTAAGCACAAGACAACGGGTGCCATCCACCGACAACCCATGGCATGGGGGCCACCATCACAAGCTGCTCAATCGGTTCTGCGCTTGCTTGCTCTCCCAGACTTTGTCTTTGTGATGCTATCGTCCGTGGCTTGACGGCTCATTGGCACCCCGCCCATCGAACCTGCGCCCTGTTGAAAACAGGCAAGTCAGTTAACGTATTAACTAAGAAGATGAGATGAGGATAAGCTTACACACACCGCCATTTCCACCACCGTATCCACCACTCCCTCCCTTCCAACAAGAGTTGCCATAAAGACGGGAACTTATTGTGATGAACAGCCAAGCCTCAACGATTTGCTCTTGCTTAAAAGGACGCGGCTTCCGCTCTTGTAATATCATCCATTCTAAAGCGCGTCTCTGCTCTGGTAGCAGGGTAACGCCTGCTCTATCAAATGGTTCAGCGGCCTCTGCCCCGTTTTCGGCACTTTGCACGTCATAGATGGAGACGTTCGGCACTGGTCCGGCAGGGTCTTTCTTCCCTCTTCCCTTGGAAAAGTAAGTATGTGTATCAAGTGAGATGAAGGAAGAACTTACACCACCACCACCACCACACCGCCATTTCCACCACCGTATCCACCACCCCCCTCGAAAGAAGAAGTGCCATAAAGGCTTGAGCTTATTGTGATGAACAGCCTGGCTCCACACCCACCGAGATAGTCGACATCGATTGTACCAGCCGTTAGAAGGTTATAAACGAAGACTGGTCTTGTTTGACCATGTCTTCTTGCACGCCCAATTGCTTGGGTTCTTGCTGCAATGTAGACGGCAGGCCGTGTCGCCCTTTCAGGACGAAATGCCATAAAGGCTTGAGCTTATTGTGATGAACAACCTAAACATCGTCTAACCATGTCTTCTTGCACGCCCAATTGCTTGGGTTCTTGCGGCAAACTACTTGGGTATGGCTGAAAGGGTGACAAGTGTAGATGCAAAGATGACCACACGGCAGCTGGCCTCCGCACTTCTTTCTACATCCATCAGCAAGCTCAAACCATTCGCAAGGGTCGAAGATATTGGTGTTGGCCTTGTGTTTTTGACAAACAAGGGGTAAACCCTTGTTCATGTCGAGAAAACGCAATATACACGATATGGCCCAGCCAAGACGAAATGCCATGAGGTGACATGTCCGTGTCGTTGCTGACAGGTGTCAATACAGCATCGTCTTCCGAGGACGCGTCTCGAGATGAAGATGTACAGCCTTCAACTTTGACAACACTGGATTCATCGGAATAATGAAGTCGTAGGAGAAGATCGCCTTCTGGAAGGCTGGAACTTATTGTGATGAACAGCTTATTCAACACCCACCCATCTTGCCTTCACGGGCTTCGACATTACTCGACATCGATCGTGTTCGTCGTCAAGAAGCTGTAAGCAAAGACGGGCTTGGTCGAGCCATCAAAGATTGCTTGACAACTGGATCCTCGAAATTGCCTACAGTAACTTTCTTTGTCGTTCGTGGCTCGATTAGTTGCACTCCGTAGTAATCCGAGAGATTCAGGTCGGCTTCGAACGAATTGATGTTGTCCGCTGCGAAGTGGATAGAAACATATCTTTCGAAGCCGATCTCAATCTCTCGGATTACTATGGAGATGACTTTGGCTCTTGGCCGTAGCCAAGAAGAATGCCACGAGGGCTTGAGCTTATTGTGATGAACAACCTATCGTCTGGCCATATTTTCTTGCGCGCCTCATTGCTTGGGTTCTTGCTGCTATGTAGACGGCCCTAGCGTCAGAGCTAGTGGTGTAAACAGGCTGTAGGAATAAGACGTGTCTCGCGTTTACCAAGTTGCTGGGAAATAGTCAGCACATGTTTGAAGTAAACTCAAAACCAACAGGGACTCGTACCTTCCAGATGCTCTGGCATCGTCGACTTTAAGAATCATGACTTGAGGATTCTTGGCTGTAGCCAAGAAGAATGCCAGAAGGGCTTGAGCTTGTTGTGATGAACAACCTTGGTTTCCTCCTCGGGACACGCCGAGCAATGTTTGCTAGGTGCTGCAGAGCAGAATCACTGTAGCTCTGGTTTGTTGGAAGTTGCTAGAAAAAGGTTAGCACATGCACGAAGTAGAACAGGAGGGGTTCGTACGGCGAGAATGAAGACGTAGGGGCCGACATGTGAGTCGGGGTTCTTTGCGGGATTGCCTTGTAAGTATAAGTGGGTGGTGGAACCCCGCCTTCTCTCGTCGTTCCTTATCAGAACTTGAGCCACAAGGGCTGGAACTTATTGTGACTGTGTAGAAGTCAGCATACATTTTCAGCAAAGATCCAGGAGTTAAGGAGTTGTAACACAACTTCCTTCATGAGAAACTCTGGAGATTCTCGACTCGAAGAACGAACACCAAACAAATATTTAACTTACTGAACAGCCCTTTTTCTCCATCCTCTTCGTACTCTTGAGCAGCCATGGTAGTTCCGCTATCGAATTGAGACAGACGGTTTACCTACTGAAGTCAGTCCAAGATCTAGTTTCTCAAGCACCAAAGGACTTACTGACAGCATAATCGACCGAGAGGAACCTAACACCCCAACTCGTAATGCACTTAGATGAATTCTCGAGGATCTTGGCGATGGTTGTTGGCGTCCTCCTCTTGCTTTGATTATCGGAGCGAGGGAAAAGTTCCTTGGCATTATCGCCCAAAAGGAACCTTTCCCCCATGGGTGGCTTTCGGTGTAGAACAACAAGATGGAGCGGGCCCCAAAGAGACTTAGCGAAATTAGTATTTCAACGAAACTTAACAAGCGAAGAAAGACTTACTCTCTTCAACTTCCTTGGAAGTGAAGGAAACGTTGAGCAGCACAAGGTCAAGCTAGGCGGCGAAGATGAGTAGCCAATCCCAGCCCGACCCCGCTGTATGTATCAACCAGACCAACAGTCAGAACAGTGGCGGCTCTGACTGCTCGTTGGTGATAGTTTGCTGTTGGTACGTTTTGCAGGGAGAAGATGTCTGTGAGGTATGGTATGTTAGCAATGAGTTTCGCGAAAGGGCTGGAAGTAAAGCACAAGGTAGTTCGCTTCGGTGAGGAAAAGGAGGAGAAACGCTTCGTAGCTTGTCTCTCAACGAGGGACAGGGGCTCAGATGTGGTGAAGAGGAAGGTAGCTGCTCCGTAGCGAATCTCGTATCGAGACACAGGGGCTCGGATGTGGATGAAGGAACGGGAGAGGGTGAAGACTGTTGCTTGAAGAGGAAGGAACGACCCTTGAAAGGACGCACAGTGAAATACACTTGTAGAGAAAGGAAGGAGCATTGCTTCGTAGTGTGTCTCGTATCGAGACATAGGGGCTCGGATGAGGTTATCGATAGGCAAATGAGGAACAAGAAGGAACGACTGGCAGAGATGTGTGTAGTCTTGTAAAGAAAGAGATGAGAATCGCTTCGTAGTGTGTCTCGATACGAGACAAAGATGAGGTTATCGATAGACAAGTGAAGAACAAGAAGGAACGACTGACAGAAGCGTATGTGTAGTGAGGGTAGTGAAGTGTAGTACATAGGTAGTGAGTGTTGGGAACTTGCAATGAGACATCTTCTGATATGGGCATAAACCCCTTATCGGAGTTAAGCGCGATAAAGCTCGGGACCGGAGCAAGAAGTCTCCGACCGCTGGTCGAAGCTGACCATTGCAAGATGCCATGGATGAGAAAGTCAGAGAGACTCCAAAGGAGCCCTTCGCGAGTTAGGCAGCAAGTATAGAATGTGTGACTGTGTAATAGCGTACGGGGTGAGCGCTCACAGTGAAGTCCCATACCCATCAACCAGTGCAAGACAACATCAGCAATGAGATGCCATCGATGAGCAGGTCAGAGAGACTCCGAAGGAGGTCTTCGCGAGTGAGGGAGCTCTTCGCGAGTGAGGAAGCAAGTATAGAATGTTGTGAATGTGTAATAGTGTACGGGGTGAGCGCTCACAGTGAGGTCCATAGCCATCAACCAGTCCAAAGACAGCATCAGCAATGAGATGCCATCGATGAGCAGGTCAGAGAGACTCCAAAGGAGTCTTCGCGAGGGAGGAACTCTTCGCGAGAAGGGGAGCTCTTCGCGAAAGAGGAAAGTCTACGCGATTGATGAAGCAAGTATAGAATATGCAGTCCAATATGTGAATATGTGTGTGCGGGGCAAGTGCTCACAGTGAAGTCCCATAGCCATCAACCACTGGTCGATTGGCCCCGACAGCAACCAGATACCTTTGTGAACGCGTTGTAGAGGCTTCACTTGTCCCTTGCGAAGCCATTGTCGTCTTGCTGAGGTCTGGATCGAAGGTAAAGAGGAGGAGGTACGCGGTCTTTGACCACTTGTCGAGCGAACGACGCGGGGAAAGGGGGGAGATCGCAGCAAAGGGGAGTAGAACGTACCGAGAGGACAGCGAGACGCTGTTGATCTCTTGAAGATCGAAGAAGGACAGTCCCCATGGCCAAGCCAAGAGGTGTGGTGGTGGCGTTGGTAAGATCGCCTTTGTTGAGAGGAAGCAGAATTGAGGAGAAACAGAAACAGACGAAGAAGAGTTGGTAACCTCAAAATAACCTTTGTGCATCACGTGTAGGCGGCCGCTCACAGGGTTAACAAGAACGCCAAAACAAGCCTCGGGTATGACGGCTGATCTGTAAAAATGATGGGAGTGTATTCATGCTATGTTATGTATCCTTGGAGAGGAGAAAGACGCATCCAACTAAGAAGCACCTTAACACCTTTGACTCCAGATCTCCTTCGCTGTTCGACTCCCAAGTTTCAAATCCAACAACCAGGCTCTTTCCTAACTTGCGCTCCTACCTGGTAAGTATAATCCAACAACTCACTTTGAGATTTCCTCTCCAATATCAAGAAGCTTTTGATCCAGCTCTTAGAATCCTTTAGGTCCCTGACCATCGACTCCTCCAGTCTTGAAGTATTCGGAAACAACACCAATGGCATATGAACAGGCTGCAAGCCAGCCAGCGCCAATCAACACCGTCTTTGCAGCACCTCGTTTCTTTCGTCCGCCTTCATTATCCTCCCAGTTACGCTTGCCACTGAAGACAGGCTCTTCTCGTCGAACATCAATATTGGACTTGAACGGCGGCTCTGAGCCTCTGGGAATATCATGATTGACGAAACCAGTCGGGCTGGCGAAGTCACCTGTTGCCGCAATTGGGCCTCGAGTCATACCGTCAATGGGATTCATGACGTTCTTCCTGTGCTCAAGAGAGCTCTGGTCCTCCTTTGCAGCTGCCGAATACTCTTTCTCGGGTTTCATCGGCGAAGCTTCACGGACCTTGCGGAATACAAGCACATCACCACTACCAGAGACTATTTCGTAGCCTTGCGATCGAAGTGGCTCGAAGTGAGGGAAGAACTTGGCAGGATTTGACAGTCGCAAAAGGACCTCTGCTGGTGTCAATGGGCCAGATGAATCTGGTACGACTGACGTCGTCTCAGCCGAGCTGATTGATTGCATTGTAGGATCATAGGCCAAGATCTTGTACATGGCTGGCTCTGGCGTCTCTGTCGCACCCTCCAGTGCGGCAGCTTCTTTACTGACTGAACTTTCCCCTTTGGCTGGCGAAGGAACCTGCCTATGCTTGCTGTCTATGGTCCCATAAGAATCTTCATAGATCCTACGGACTTCACGGACTAATTCTCTGTCAAGCTCCTTCTGAGCATTTTTCTCCTTCTGCAACTGAGCTTTGGTGGTATGTGCATCCATGTTCATAGTCTCGTTGTCCTTGGGAGTAACATATGCTGACACGGAAGCAGATATATCTCCTTCTCCTTGTTCTGCAGGGCCGACCCCGACATGCGACCTATCTTTCTCAGCCGCAATCGACTTCGAATTACGAGACACAGTACGATCCAGAGACGGCTCAATCCTCTCAACATCTGGGTTGCGAGAAAATGCTTCTTTGGCACCCAAGCCAATGATATACGCTTGTTCGCTGCCCTGAACACTTGATTCTACCTCCTGGTCTGATGGTATCTTGCGGGTCAAGCCACCAGAACTTTCCTCCGACGCAGTCCAGGCAGTTTGAAACTCTTCAGGAAAATCCCGGACGAAGTTACCAGTCATCTTCTTTGGCGTGCCTGTTGGCTTCAACTCTTTGACGACTTCGACATTCCTCGCCTCATCAAGGTCGGATTTGAGAAGCATCGTGCGTTCGCGTAGACGTTCCGCAGACAAATTAGCGTCCGCCTCGGCCATATGTGCCGTCTCAAAATCATGCTCCAATGCCTTCCGTCTTGCAGTCTTCTCCTCTTCGGCCTCTCCTGGCTCTTGGACATCCGAAGCAGTACGAAGGGCGTTTAGGCGGGATATATCCTCTGTCACATCATCTTTGGCTCTATCGAGAACCTCGGCCTCGGATTTTGCCTCTCTTGCAAAGAGATCTCGAATTCTTTGGGGAAGATGAGCCCAGCTTTTCGGAGTACTCGTTTCGTCTACACTAGAGGACCTTGCCTTGGTCTGATCTTTTAGCGCCTCTGAGTGAGCCTTCGCCGGGTCCAATCTAGTCGAGAACCACACACGCCTGCTTGAGTCTTCGGTCTGCGGTCCTTGATAATAATTGACCTTGGCATCATAAGACTTCAAGCATTCATCAGTTGAAGCATGACTGCTGCTTTGAGCACCTGATTGCAACACCGACTCCTCATACTCATCTATTGAACTCAAAAGAGGATCAACAGCTTCCATCTCGAGGTGCTTTGTGGTAGCGGGGTTTGACTCGCCGGTGCGTGAGACGAGACCTTTATATTCGCGGATTGCTCGAAGCAAAGGATCCGTCCTGTCATTTGCAGCTGCCTCCCGTGGATTTGTTCTCTTGTCCGCCATCGATGCCTCATATTCTCGGATTGCTTTTAAGAGCGGGTGTAGATGCTGATGTCCCATGGGGCCCATCACATGGCCTTTAAGTCGCTCCGCAGACATGATCTCTTCATAATTCTGGATAGACTTCAACAATTTGTCTGCTTGCTGCTCCCGCATGAACGCCTTTCGAGAAGCAGAGTGCTCATAGTCTCGCTTGGCTTCAAGGATTTTGTCTTCAGTGTTAGTCTTGTTGGGATACACAACCCGTGAAGCATCCAATTCCTTGAACGAATTGTAACGGTCGATCGCCTGTTTCACAGGATCGGCTTGCTCAATCTCCTCGTGTGGAGAAGCAAAGAATTGCCGTACTTGGTTTTTGACCTTCTCGTCATAAGCTTCGAGGCCATCTTGGGCATGTTTCTGACCAGGAGAAGTATTTTCCGTTGTGGCGTTCGTTGGTGTCTTCTTTGAGAGCTTTTCGTCATAGCGTTTCAGTCCTTGTTGATGAGAATAATCGATGTCCATCTCGGCAGTGTCATACTGGCGACCAGACATGAAGCCAACCTTCTCGTCGTATTTCGCCAAATGATCCACCTCCTTGTCATGCGGCCGAGTAGTAAAACTTTCCGGTTGATGCGAGGATGGACTGTACGGCTGACTTGAACGATGCTGTGCTGTGGTCTGCTTAGATACTGACCGAGGCGTGGTATCTCGCGGTGGAGCGTTTGGAGGTTCAAATGTCTTGAATTGCGATCGGTATCCCTTGAAAGTCTTCACTGGGATGTCGGTGGATGTGCTCCTGTCGCTAGTCGGTTGGCTAGGCTCCTTCTGCACCTTTCTATTTGTGATTGGGTCTATCTCATACTCGGTCTGTTCTTCTTCTTGGTAGTCACGCACGTGAAAGCGTTTACGAAAGCCCTCGGATCCATATACGGTGGAAGAATCAGACATGTCGTTTGTTGGAGGAGTGTTTGAGTCTTGTGCTGGTCGAGAGACCCAAGACGTTGAGTGACAAGTGCTCCAACCAGGACCAAAGATGCGAGCTTTGGCACGAATGAATTTGTGGTGGTTATCGAGTAAATGATTGAGAGCGTTTTGTTCCACATCTTCAATTCCTCTTTCTTTCTTTTCTGTATTCCTCTCATTCATATATTCCAAATCCTCGGAATTGACCCATCTTCCACCAGGCCTAGAATCTTGTCCACGCCAAGCGCTGCACATGAAGCTCTTTAAGCCGGAGTGTCGAAGGTGCCTGAGATGCATGGGGAGGTGTCGATCCCATGATAGCTTTCGATTCAATGCTTCGATATATTTGTGCTTCACCATTCGCTGACGGCGTCGGAACTCTTTCTGGAAGTTTGCATCAAGGTATGAGGACCACAGACCAATACGAAAGGCTCGAACTTGTTGATATGGACGAGGACGTCGAGGCAAGCCACCCGATCGAGCGAGAACAGTTGGTAAAGCTCGTAAGCTACCAGGGGTGACCGAAGTCTTCGAGAGTGTGAGAGCTTGGGATGAAAGCATGGTGGCAGTAACCTATCGCGTCATACTCTGGTGGTCTTGCTAGTTCCCTGTTAGTACGATGAGAATCAGGAGAGAAGTTCTTACTAGAAGATGGTACCCATGCAAGATGGCAGAGACGAAGCAGCTCGACCAGCGGATCAAACGGATTTGTTTGGCGGGTCTCGAATTGCAAGTTGATTAACGTCAGAGATCTCGCGGATGCCTAGAGCCCGTGATAGTGGTGTATGACGTCCTTTGTTCGTAACGGCTCATTCAAAAGATGTGTTGCTATTTGGGATGACTTTCGACAGGATGTCGTCGGCTCGTTGACGACACAAGTGCAGATCCCAAAGATGCCACTCAGTCAAGGGGATCCGCGGGCCAAATATCAGTTGAAGGACGATTGAACTAAGCGAGATCTCCTACGCGAAATAGAATGGGGAACAAGTAGAAGTGTCGATCACTTCTCTTGAGAAGGACAAGGGCAGACAGATATCTGAGCGGATGTCGTGTGTCCAAATGTGTTGAAAGATCTCAAGATAAGCTGCCAGCAGGAGATATGCAGTCGCATTCTTTCATGCGAAGGGAATGCGGCATAAAGAGGCACTGTAGAGCGTAGATTTCGTTGCTTAGGTGGGGTTGAAGAGTTCTGATCGTGTTCGACGCAGCATGAGTGGTCAACACCAAGGTATCATGGTCAGTTGTCGCTGTTCTGAGTGGAGCAATCGGATAACAGAGGAACGAGGGAGGATCTGAGTTCTTTCGTCCTGCAGACTCGAAATTCCAGTACGAGAGATGCAGTAAGATTGATAGACAAGAAGGAGAGTGTGTTGTAGATGAAGGAGGGAAGATACCTCAGGTACCAGAGCTGAGAGCTGAGCTGAGAAGCTTCACTTCACTGGGATCGTCAATCACATGCGGGGTAGCATCACTCTCTCCGCAATCATCCGCGCCCTTACGCATTGATGTTCCTGGATACCCTCAATTTAGGATGACTGCCTGAGTTGTTGCTGACAGCTTTTCTCTAATATGCCACACAGCGGGCACGGGACACTGCTTAGCCCCTGCATGTCTCGGGCAGTCGGATCTTAGCGGGCGCCACCATTTCACAGCAGTCACAGCCTTCTCCATCGACACTAAACCGTTCTCGGTCCCATCGTCATCCAATTCGAGGTTCGGCGTGACGAGGCTGAATGTAAATAAATTCTTACCTTCTCAACCATTTCCTCTCTACACGCTCACACGCCCACAGCTCGTTCCTACAACACTCTCTTGATTGCTCATCGTCGACTGCCGCACTCCACTCTTCTTCGCTAGATTTATTCTGTGGGAGTCATTTCTCTTCTACCCCTCCTTGCAGTAGGATTTTGCACCTAGGTGGGGTTGCGGATGAAATACTTCTCTCCCTTGGAAACCGCGACAAGCTCAGCACTACGAATTCCCGACCTTCATCCTCCATCTGCCACTCATCATGAGTAGCAGAGGCTTCGGCCGCTCTGCTGCTGGCAACGGCTTCGGTGGAGCGACTACACGCTCGACCCTGTCTTTCACTACCCCGCCGCCAGACATCTCGAAGATCAGCGATCCAAACCTGGTGGTGTCGTTCAAGAGTTTGCTGAAGAAGAACGATACTACATTAGCCAAGGCTTTGGATGAGATCCAAACATATGTCAAGTCGCAAAAGGCAGGAGAGATTGAAGATGCAATCATCAAGGCCTGGGTACGTTCGGAATCGACACATGGCACATCATAATCTAACTTGATCGCAGTCAGAGTTTTATCCTCGCACCTCAATTAACAATTCTCGACGAGTTCGTGAATTAGCGCACCTTGTTCAGCACGCGCTATCGGATTCAGCGCAATCGAAAATCGAACCATACATCCTCCAAATGGTGCCCGCCTGGCTCGCTGGAACCTTCGATAATGACAAGGGAGTCGCTAAAGCTGCGAAAGAGGGATGGTTATCTTTGCTGAATACACATGAAAAGATGTCCTCGGTCGTCAAGAAGTCTCAGCCGGCTTTTCTGGCCTACGTTCAGGAAGGATTTGACGAGACGCCGGAAACCTTGAACGATGAGCGCACAATGAGTCCGGATGATTTAAAGGCAACATATTACCGTCTTATCGGCAATTGCCTCGATATGGTAACATATCTTATCAAATCATTAGGCGAACCGGAGGTGAAGAAACACAGTGGCAAATACGAAGCTCTTTTGGGCAACCAGGAGTTCTTAGGGTGCACTTCAAGCGATGATGTCCACTTGCGACGCAGCAGCATTCAGCTTATTACAGTCTGTGCCTTCCGACAGCCGTCATTCATCAAGGCCAATCTTAAGGCTATCAGTCGTGCTTTAATCGCAGAAGCGCTGAACCATACACAGCTTGGCACGGCCTATGATCTTGTTGAAGCATTCAAGATTCTTACAGTAAAGTTTCCTGAAATCTGGACTTTCCCTATAAAATCAAAGAAAGATCCAATGACACGTCTTCGAGGGTTCATCGAGAAGGGTTCACAGCGAGGGTCATCCGATTATTGGAACTCTCTATTTACATTGCTGTTAATAATCCCTGAAGAGATCTTACCTCACAAGTTCTTCACGATGATGGAGTTCGCTTCCGCATTCCGACTTGGCATCAAAAACAGAGATGAGCCCAGAAGTAACCTTCAGATTGCTTGGAGTACATACTTTAAGCTTGTGATTGACATGGCAACTAAGCATCTCTCCGACCCCGACTCACAAGTCAGATTGATCAAGGAAGCTATCTTCCCTGCCATCCGAAATTTTATCCTCCTTGATCCGGAACAAGCAGCATGGACAGTTGATACGCCTGACAATTTCAAGGATGTGTTGATCCAACTCTCATCTCTAGACCTCGACAAAGCTAGTGAGAGAATCCGAAATGCTTTGAAGGCAGAATTGAAATCATGCGCTCAACGATTAGAAGAAAGCATGCTCTCACCTGTCCCAGTCGATGCCCTAGAAGTGAAGAAGTTCGAAGATGCTGTCGAGTCACGATTTCTCCGCTGGTTTTCGTTATTTAAATGGGTTCTATCAGATGCTAAACTGGAAAGCTACCTCGGAAATCCAGAGCCAAAGGATGAGAACATAGTCGCGATTACAGATAATCTGATTCGCATGTGCCCTAAAGCCATCGAACGACGACAAGGAAAATCATACGGTGCTGCTTCTGGGTTGTTGACTTGCATGCGACACAGTTCGTTGTTTGTGGCACATCACCCTTCTCTGGTAGACTTTATCAGAGACTATCTTGAGAAACAGCTGTTCGCGCTTCTCGAGACACCCTGCGGTGAGTATTTAGTGGCAACATTGAAGACGTTGAAGGCCTGTCCGGGCCAGCAGGATGCTTTCAAGGAAATATGGACAAGAACAGTCGGGAGCGCCTTGAGATTACCCAGTGGAGACCAACAGAGTACTTGCTTAGCTTTGATGCTACTTAGAGGTGATGGATCAGAGCTAGCACTGCAAGACGACCTTCTTCAGCAATTCATTCGCAATTGTTCCCGAGATGCGGTGGTGTCAAATGACGGTCCTTCCTGGTCTGTCTTCCATGCTGCGGCTGCTTCCAAATCCATCTCCGATGGTATGGCATCTGAGATTATAGATATCATCGTCAATGCATTGTTGTCCCCCAACGACGACGCAATCGACAGTGGCTTGAAGGCGTTGACATCTCTGTCTGAAAAAGATGTGTCACTCTTGGTATCATCCCAGGAGCGCAGACTTTCTTTACTCACGCTCTTAATGAATCTGAACGAGTACGACACTACTACAGCTCGGAGATCGACCGTCGCGGCTTTGACTAAAGTCCTTTCTGAAGGAGGCACTGACTCGAATGGTCCAAGTGACAATCCACAAATTGCGGTCATTAGAAATCAGTTGAAGTCAATCACTGACACGCCTTTGAGGTATGCTTTCCAAGACGCATCCTCCTGACTGAGATTTTTATTAACATTTCTCCAGCGTCCATACCCTGGCTAATCTAGCCTCCAAAATATTCGAAGCTACTAGCGAGGAAGATAAATCTAACACAATTGCTGCACTGTTTCCTACTCTACTGGAATGGGAACAGGCATACCAGCCGTTTTACGACCACCGCCAAACGCCTCAATTGGCAATGTGTGAGCCATTTGCGGGCGCTCTCTTCTTGATCAGAGATCCACAACCTCATCTTTACGATGTTCCAATGGATGATGAGGACCACTCTGTGCCATTCAGGATGGCTCTCTATGCATGCACTGTTACCCAGTCCATGATGCTGCAAATGCCTTCTAAACAAGCTGCCGAGCTTTTGTTTTTCCTCTGTCTGGCACAGCAGCTCGTGCGGTCTCAGCATACCACCGGCAATTCAAGATTTATGTACAATAATTCTTGCAATCATATTTCTGCTTTCGATGATAACTTGCATTCCTTACTTGCGACTATCATAGGAGGTTCCACGAATTGGAAGCGGAACAAGACCAGACATGTTAACAACGATACGACGTCAATTCTGGAAAACCTAGTCGACATTATGTTGGATAAGTCTAGCTACAACAACGCACTTGGATATCATAGCGGTGTCGCATTGAGTAGACTATTCTCAACCATTTCGTCAATCAACGGACCTATATTCGACTGTGGCGAAGAGTGGTTGAAAGCTCGAAGCGTATTTACGAAAGAGCTTCCCCGGCCGTTCACGACACTCGCGATTTTGACTGGATTTGGACAGGCTTTGAGCACTAGCGAATCGGTCAAATGGTTTTGCAATCATCTGTTTTCAGTCATTTATGGTATCTCCGGTCCGCTGAGCGAGTCCAATATTGAAGAGGCATTCCTCACTATTGTGTTGTTGAATGGTTGCCTGTGTGCATACGACGAAGATGAAATCCCCACACCTACTGTTCGGATGGTGAAATCAGTCAACCAGATTCTCTCTTGGACAGATGGTAAGGACTTTTCGTATCAAAAGTTCGCTGTAGCTTCGGAAGCTTGCAGAGCTCTCACGAAATTATTGCCGGCCCTGAAGTATTCATCAGGTGAACACTGGAATTCAACACTTCAGAAGTTGTGTTTGTCACCTTGGAAATTGTATGCTTCTATCGACAAGCTCCAATTTCTACCAGAAAATGTTCCCCACCCCGACGAGCAACTTGTACTTTGCTCTTGCTCGCTGCGAATGTACTCCAGAATTGTCAAGTTGAAGGAGGATGAAGATGCAACTGATGAGCTAAAGGATCTGTTCAAGAAGCAGCACGCCTCCCTCAATCAAGGTCTGCTGGATCTAATGAACATGCCTCGATTTGTGGACAATCCTGTTCTGGAAATCTTTGACGGTTACCTCACAGCGCAGGTACTCAAGATTCCCATTGAAGAGATTAATCTTGAAGAAATTTATCCGCTCCTCGGATCAAATGCTCAAGCAACTCAAGCTACAGCCTTTGAGATTCTCAGCAAAGTATTACCAAAATTGATTGACGATATGACTGTGCGAGTCATGGTGGACAAGAAAGGTATGATCGATCCATGTTAGCCTATTGTTTTTATCTAACCTCTCTGCAGGAGCTGAATTGCCCGACGAGCTTCTTTCTCTACTTCTTTCGGACGCTCTCCAACCTCGTGAGATATCTAGTCCTCGTCTTGACTTCTTGGACGATACTCAGAATGCCCGTCGGTCAGTGCTCTTGGCTTGGAAGCTAGTCCTCCAATGGTTTGGTCTGGCTCCGTATAAAGTTCGCGCGAAGCTCCAGCAAAAGTTACAGGAGGCAGATGAATTGAAGAAGTTGCTGGAGTTCGTTTACCATACTTTCAACGCGAAGGGTGGGGGGTTGCGGCCACTCTCGGACTTCCAGCTGGGTAAGGAATCTGTGCGGGAATACGATGTATGGGACGTAAGCCATCCATCTGGTTTACTCCACAACGTACAATGGCTCTCCGCTCACGTATACTTCCTGGCTTTGAAGTATATCCCTCAACTCGTCAAGTCGTGGTTTTTGGATTTCACTCGTGCCGGCAAGGTGTTCATGGGCGACTGGACCGAGCGATATTTCACTCCCCTCGTCCTAGAAGACTGCGTCGAAGAAGTCCGCACCTGGAGAGGAAACGGCGACGTTATGGACACGCAAGACGGCAAACAACTGATCATCAAGCTCCCCGCTAAGAAAGGCAGCACGATCACCGTCTCTTACGAAATCGACGAGCAGTACTGCACCATTACGCTGACTTTCCCCTCTCGCTACCCACTCGACTCCATCGAGGTCGAATCCGTCAGCCGTGTCGCTGTCCCCGAGAAGACTTGGAATTCCGTCCTCAAGCAAATCCAAGGCGCGGTCCGTTTCGAAGGTGGCAACATTATCGACGGCATCGAAGTCTTCAGACAGAATGTCGCGGGATTCTTGGATGGCCACGATCCTTGCTCGATCTGTTACTCGATCGTGAGCGAGGACATGAAGTTGCCGGAGAAGGGGTGCGCCACGTGTCGGAATCGCTTCCATACCGATTGTTTGATGAAGTGGTTCAAGACTAGTAATGGGAATACTTGTCCGATGTGCAGACAGCCTTTCACTGGGTTGAGCAGACGCTAGGCGTGGTGATGGACAGGATCAGATGGGAGATTGGGAAGTGGATAGTGGGGTGAGAGGGGGAGCATGGGAGTGGGAGGGATGAATGTATGAATACTTGTCGTGCTTTTTTTGTATGCATAGCGTGGCGTTGGGATGAGATGAGATGATGAGAAACGAAGAAAAAAGTTAGACCAAGAATCAATTTGTCACGGGTTGGATGCAATGAGTCAAAGCAAGAACTTGATTGTATTACAAAAAGAATTAACTAAAGAGAGAAGAGTTCTATCTTGTACGAGGAGCTCTTTTAAAAGGGGCTCTCGCTGGTTCGTAGAATGGCCCACGCGCTTTGGCGTCGCGCAGTCATGTGCAGGCCCGCGTAGTCACGTGCAGGCTGCACTACGTAGTAGTGCAGCCAAATATCGGGTTCAACCCGTCACAATATATTTAAAATAATAATTCGAGTTTTTTATTTTATTTTTGTTACGGACCACCTGGATCGCCTGGCTAATCGCCTGTCACCTGACCTAATCGCCTGCCTAATCGCCCGCGACAAAGGTCAGGCCGGGAATGGTGGCGTTCCCTAGCTTTAAGCCTATTGGGGCTTAGTGTCACGACTCTCTCCTTACCCTAGTAAGGTCACGTGGGTTGGTATGGTGAATGAAGTAAGATAAGGCAACGATATTGTAGTTAGGAAAACTAAATCAAGTTGAGCACGAAGCTCCTACCTAATGGGTGACGACCCAGAGTTATATAGACAAGAAGAAACTTGGATCATGGCTGGATCAGCGATCCCACGATCCAAGGGTACTGGATCTATTAGATCCAAATGATCCAATCACGTGACCCCAAGGCCCACCGCCAATCGGGGAGCCTCGCCTGCTGAGCCTATAGCCCACTAGTCCCGTGATCGTGACACTTAGCTCTTCACATTGTCACGGTTCTGGAGTCACGTGCCAGCTAAGGAATACTCACGTGACCGCTCGCCTGTATATATACCCTGCCTTTCGGCGCTTCCTTCCTTTCTTTCCTCTTTACCTTTAGATCCTAAGAGATAGCCTAATCGATTCCTCGTCTATGTACTTGAGTCCAACCGTGCTGTCACATTATCTAAAGGTCAAACAACCCCCTAC